TTGACCGATTAGTATGTTTATACTAAAACAATTAGACCTCTTGACCTCGTGGACTACGAGCTAATAGCCCATTCGGCCTGGCGGACTCGGCCTCATGGGCTATTAGCTCGTAGTCCACTCGACCTCGAGGTCTAATTGTTAATTATTGTCTGATTCTATGTCCATCCATAGTAACCCAGTGGTGATCTTCTATCTCTTAGAGTGCAGATCGCACTTGTACAACTGTACAAAATCTAAGTAGTACTAATATGTACTAAAAGTGGACATGAAGCTAGACGGAATTGATTGCTTCATTTGTAGAGTGATCGCACTTAACCCGGCGTGCAACTGTACAAACTAAATAGTGCTGTTTAGATGTATTTAGTAAATCTTGCAACGCACTTAATCCGTGCAACTGTACAAACTAAATAGTGCTTTTCAGTTGTATTTAGTAAATCGTGTATTCGGTACGCAAATTAAATTGAATTGATGCAAATGAAGCATTCAATACCGTCTTGCTTCAGGTCCACTTTTAGGACAGATTAATACTTAGATTTTGAACATTGCCCGGATTAAGTGCGTTCACTCTACCGCATGCACGATTTACTAAATACAACTAAATAGCACTATTTACTTTTTACAGTTGCACGGTTTAAGTGCGATCACTCTAAATGAAATCTTCTTTGATCATTAGTAAGGACTTTGTAAGTGCTTTTTTCACAGTTTATTAGGTCAAGCACAACCAATGAAACCTTGCTAAATTAAGATAATGATAAACTCGTATCGATGTACAAAGCAAGTAAAGCTATTCTTCAATATCAATATTTGCTATCTTCAAACTAACACAATCACATAAATGAATATGGGTGCGTAGCACTAAGGAAATACCACAGGTAGCCCAAGCTCAGCACTTGTCGGCTTTTCTGTTAAAAACGAATCAATATAAAGTTGGACATCTCAATAAAATGCATCCAAACTCACACAATGTTGTGCTTAATTTTCTGTAAACTTTCAGCTCCCAACAGTGAAATAAACTGTCTGTTTTCATGTTTGTACCGTAGATAGAGCGGATTTCGTATGAGTGGGACACCGTTACCGCACGGTTACCGCACAGTTACCGGACATGGGCTTCACAATTTTGGTGAACCAATGGGGCACTAGAAATTGGTTACAGTACGATTACGGTCACAATACAGTACCGTCCGTTTCCCACTCATACGAAATCCGCTCTAATATTCACAGAAAAGCCGATAAGTGGGCTACCTGTGGAAATACAACACTAATAGAAATAATAGGAAGTGCAAGGAAAGTAGGTTAATATTCCAGGCGAATTATTTCTAGTTATAATAAAATCATTGCCAACTAGGAATAATATAAATGTACAGATATTTCAGAAAACGTTGCGATTGGCTTCCAATAAGTGACAATTCTTCATTAAATTTCTTTTCATCGAGGGTACAGAGCTGGCATAGCCATAATCTCCTTTAGAGCGATGATACAACAGCTATTGCCCGTTCCGAAATTCAAAAAGGGACTGGTGACTAGTCACAAACTCGATACCGTTTAAAGTTTTCAAAAATAGACACCAATACAAGAAAGAGCATACTAAAATTAGTAAAGCTGCTGAATTTGAGAGTATTTGGATTAATAATTACAGAGTTTCAATTGTTTAAAACTCGAAAAAATTACAAAGAATGCATGGAGCTCTTGAGCAGCGTCCGCAAAAACCATACAATACCTCGGTGAGTATTCAACCAAATATGTTCAAACTTGACAAGAACACTTATTTTAGTGTGGTCTTTCATGTGGTGAGGTTCAGTTTTCGACGAATGTAATATTTTCACACTCGTTCCCAGTCTCCTTTTGAATTTCGGAATGGCCAATTGTAACAATGCATTTCGGTACGTATTGATCGTTTTCAATCATTCCAATGAGATTCAAATATACAAGACCGCGGCCATATTAGATGACTGAACAAGAAATACTAATACACAGGTAATCCAAATATAACTACAGTTGAGTGGTTTTCACGGTCCCGTGAAACAAAGATTTAGTCAAAGTGTAATGTGTGATGCAAAATAAAAAGCAATAAAGTGTAAAACGGTAAAGTGCATTTCACGGATTAATTAAAGCCACTTTATTCAACGTTTTCTGAAATACTTCCGTTTATAAGTTCCTTCCAAGACGCAAACCTATTAAAATTCATAAATATATTAAACTTACATTGGCTTTGCCAAAAATGATGCATTTCGTTATATTAAGTATTACCGTTCTAAGGATATTAGTTTAACGCTTGCGTTAACGTCGGCTACATTGATATGCAGCAGTAGGCTGCCAAGAAGGCTAGACCAAAGCCACGAGATGCAACAGTAACAATAGACTTTTAGCGTTCGTTTTTACAGTATAAAGTTCTATTGCTATAACATTGGCTGGCGCAGCAGTGGAAACGACGCTCTAAAGTTAGCAATTAATGGTGATCGTAGCTTATAAACTAGCCTGTACAGACTTTCGCCCATGCTAATATTAAAGACAACGACTAGGACGGGCTTTGTGGATGCCTTTTGTTTGTTTTGTTTATAACAGTGTTCTTTTGATAAGCTTGCAGCTCTCGATCATACTAAATAAATATAAATAATATTCTTCAAATTTGTTTCCCGGGTAGTTTAAAGGGACTTCAATTTAGTTCACAGTGTTAACTATTAGTCTTAGTAAACTTCCACGGTCACTTATGCAAACAGCAATAATGCCTAGTGTTCATATGATCGTCCCAATTCTCCCTACTCACTCGGCAGCCATCTTGGATTCATGTCGAGACTGACCGCGTATTTCTCAAGTTCCAAGATGGCTGACGAGTGAGATGGGAAAATCCCAACAAATGATTTTTGCCATTGTTCTAGTTTCCTCGCGATATTTAAAACAATGAAAAAACGCGTTTTGGTATGATTGCGAAGATTATTTGAACATTACCTAGGCATAACTGAATTAAAGAATTAAGATTTATTAAGCATTAAAAGATATTTTACGCGTTTCCAATCTCTGGTAGAAATACGAGGGATTGTTGGGAGAAGACGAGAAAGTTTTTGAAGCATACACAATACCTAGGTGTTCAAAACATACATCTATTATGAAAAAACGGCGAACGGCGGTTGTAGAAGGGAGATTGCATGACCGAATGGAAGTATGGTTAAACTGTTTGTCTTACAAACAAACAACTGTTAGCCTCGTCGTGCGGGAAAGTGGAGACTGTACGCAATGTTTACCACATACTATTTAACAATATAAATCAGCGGTCATTTCCCATTAAACCAGCCGAAAACCCAAGGACCCTTTCGGTCGTGCAATCCCCATTCGACAATAGCCCAAAATAGGTTCATGCACTGTATACGATACTACTAAACAACGTTTTAAACCTTTATAATTTTGAACCACAGCAACATATGGCGAAGTATTTAACTGGAAAAAGGTCTACATTGATGTTGCTTCTATGTCATAAAGACATATTCCATCAATACCTACATTATATGCTGAGAGTATTAGAACAAAGTTTAACTAAGCCTTCTTGAGGCTTGAGACAAATAATATACTTATCCATAGTTCTAGAAAAATATATCATATATATCCCAACAGATATTTTTTTGCCCCTCTCAGTTTTCATTTCTAGGGCTGTCGATTTCACAGTAAGATACAGTAAGTATCCATTTTGGCATTTTGCATACACGTTTCTCAGAAGTTAAACCCCACCCCAACCACCACCCAAGGAATTCCCAAAATCCTCTTTGCGGTATGGACGGTTTACTAAACAACGAATACCTGGGCATCACAACTAATCACTTTTTGGGAGTTTTTGACGACTTAATCGTGTTAGAGCATGCATTTTTAGATATAGGTAATTTACCGTTAGGAATTCCCTTTCTTTGCTTGAGCAACAAATGCATCCAGGTACTCCCCCATGTCTTTGTGCAATGAGGCATCAGAAGCAATCGCCCACAAAGCAGCTGCATAGTGCACACAACTGCAAGCCTTGATTGCCGTAGCATTGGTATCATTTGATAGAAAGTTCCAAGCCATGCAAGATCTTCCACTACAAAACACTTGCCGTTGAAAACAGCCCTGTCCTTTGACGTTCTCGAACCTGACATGAGCAAAACTAATAATATCAGTTCCAAGTGGATCAATGGAATCAGTGTTTATATGCTCCACTACAGCGAGAGTTCGACAAGATACATACTGTACCAAGGGGACATTCTTAGAAAGGCATTGAGAATGAAGTTTTTGGACAGGTTCCTTCATATTTGAACCAAACTCCATTGATGTGAGCTTTTGTAGATCTAGTGTGGGTATCTTTGCCTTTAGAATATTAACAGTTGTGCAGCAGACTTTAGCATGTTCACACATAAAGGTTGACATTTTGTCTCCCAGCTCCTTGGCGGTGATACAGAGGGGGTAGTCGCAGGAATATTTGCTTGATTTATCCGCATTTGATGCATCGCTTGACTCTTTGCAGTCAAACTGCACAAAGCACCTCAACTCTGGTCCCGTTTTACACTTTCTGACTGAAAATATCTGTACACCTAGATCTGTGGGTAGGCAAAGCTTGACGGCTTGCTTGATGATTTTATTAGTTGCCTGGCGGGCTGGGCTCTCGTCAAGACGGTGTTTGCAGTGCTTGCAGATTTTAGATCGGCAGCCAATCATTTTATTGCACTTGGAGCATAGCATGACGCCTCGTCTTGTAGCATTACCATTCATAATCCTGAAACAATAAGTTCAAAGGAATGTTATACAGCTATTCTCTACTTGCGCATACCCATAATACCTTCTGATTTTGGGGGGTAGTTATTGTTATTGAAATCATTTATATTTGAATAACAATTGATTTTATTTGCATCACAAAACCTACCCCCCAAAATCAGAAGGTATTATGGGTCATGTGCAAGTAGAGAATCAGATTAAGCCAATTGGTAAGGATTCCTGTGTTTATGAAGACACAGGAAGCCCAATCATTACCATAAACTTATCATGTTTTAACCTAACTGTCAGTAAATCAGCAACAACATGGCACAATAAGCTTTCTTCGCAATGTTTACCTTTCCATATTATGAAATAGTTTGTGCGCCAAACGGTTTTAAACATTCTAATTTGTAGAGAGCTAACTAGTGCTTTTGCCACTCAGCATCCAGTTGAATGCTAATATCTCATAAGCTATTGCATGTAAAGACCTCAAACGCTTGTAGTTTATAGTTCTCAATAGAGTACTAAAGTGTGACGTCACGAAGATTGTGTTTTTCGAAATTTTCGGATTCGCTGACATATCCTTAAAGTGCATGGAAAAAGGCAGCTATCGGCCAAATTTTAGTGTCCTAGTGCCATTTATAGCGGAGATACAAGCATTTTTATGGTCGGATGAACATAAAATCGCTTGTATCTCCGCTACAAATGACACTAAGACACTCATATTTAACAAGGATGCATTAAAAATGATGCACTTTCAGAATATTTTCGTTTTCTGACGTCATCACTTTAGTACTCTATAAGCCCATTTACCTTATAAACTTATTTCACATTTGTTAAAATTTTCACTTTACTCTAATAAGCAAAATTTTATAAACGAAAATTCAGCTACATGTATGCCAGGAAAACCATTTCAAGTCATATCCTTAATTAGTATAAACATACTAATGGTCTATCACTCATACTGCGCTGTGATTGGCTACTCTACTAATGGTCTAATTTGTGATAGACCACTCGCAGGAAAATCAATCGCATTAATAAATTATTTTAAGGATATTTCAATTTGTTTTCATTATTTGACTGATTAGTATGTTTATACTAAAATTATTACCTGTACTGACAATCCCCCTTTGCCTCATTAGAAAAATCTTTGCTTGACTCTTTCTCATCTTCGCATGCATTTATGTTCTCTTCTTGAATACTACTGTCTTTTGGTTGAATTTTTCTAAACTTAGCAGGCTTATGTTCACTTCCAGTCACTAAAATACACTTGGGGTTTGTCCCTGGTAAGAGTGCCACAACCTTAGGTTCTGCATCTAAAGCTTTTGACACTGGAACCTTTCGTTTTTTACCATTGTTCCGCTGTGCCATCTCACCTAGAAACAGAGCAACTGAGTTCGCATCGTATGAATTTTCTGCCATTTTTTCCTTCATGGGTTCAGTGTTTCTTCCTTGAGCGTCTTCAGTAGATTCAACTGAATCAGTTTGTAGACCAACTACTGACGTGTTTTCTTCACATACTCTTGATTCTGATTGGTGGAGATTAACACCCTGGTTTTGTGCCAGCAAGCCACAGATAAGTTCTTGCAGTGAATATCTTCCAGAGGTGTTAGCAAGAGTTTGGCTGTCGGTGTTCTCAGACATTTTTGAAGAAATAAAGACAGTGTTTATAGCTTCTTGGCTTTCAGTTTGGGATGTTCCTTCGGCTAACTTCTCTACGCATTCTGAACTGGTAGTAGTAACCTCTGTGACATTGCTTACTATTTCAGAATCATCTATAACTATTTTTTCTGGACAGTTTAGAATTTCCCCTACCGTGTTACCAATACGCTGGTGGTGTTCCAGTGGTTCATTTACTTGAGATGCATTGTTTAGTAAACTGTGTTCTTCTTGCTCTTTTGCCATTTCAACTCCTTCAAATTCCTGGCTGGTTTCCTGGTCCAGTGAAGGAACCATAGTTTCCAGCTGTTGTTCTTCTTGATTTGTGACAATATGTTCCTGAATTGCCTGGTTGGCTACCAACTTTGCAACACCACTAGGCATCAAGCTCCCTGATGTTCTCTCTTGGACATCCTCCTGCGTTGTGTCTGAAGAACTGCATACAACATGCCGAGCTAGTAACTCAACTGTTTTGCTTTCAATTGGTTTAATGGAAATTGATGGTCTTGCCCTTCTAGGATGTCTGATCTTTGATGGGCTGCAGTGCTTGCATTGCTTTGCTCTGTATCCTATCTTCTTTTGACATACTGGGCATGTTTTAACTCCACGCTTAGTAGCATTGATAGCCAGAAACCTAAGAAATGGGGAAAAAAGTATGAATCATTTTTAAAAACCAGAATTTTTTTTACGTACATGTATTTTATAAAGTCAATCCCAATTCCAGTAACTTTTTCAGTTGTAAAGACATAAAGACAACCAAAGTCATTTGGATAAAATGTGCTCTTCAATCCCCATAAAGGATTTTGTCTTAAAACTCAAGAAAGTTCAATCTTTTTGACATTGTTATAAATTTTTGGAACTCAAGGTTGAATACAGTGTATACCTGGTTCCTCACTTGTCTTATATTCTATGATTGGCCAAAAAAGTGTGGTTTATGAGAGTATAAACCATGATTGTGCGCAAGCGATTTTTTTTGCTCAAAATCTATATAATAAAACAAGCTCATGCTTCTTGACACTTTCTTGTGTTTCAAATGCCAGCGTGTGTTTATCAGAGTGTAAACCACGGCTGAGCCTTATTTATTTGTTAAATACATGATGACCTCTTATTGGTTTATTTATTTGACATACAGTATTGGAACACACTATGCAGTTTCACATTACTCAACATTTTTTATAAAAAATAACAGTATAAAAACATCGTAGTTATAATTTAGATGCTTAAAAACCAGCTCACGTTGCCTTCTGACAGCCTTCTGACAGCAACGTCTAACAACCTGGTCCAACTATATAAGCTACTTAGTGTCAGTCAAGATTCACTTAACTTTTTGACCAATCACATTCAGATTGTTATGCCAGGTGGTGATACTGTACATCTGTTCTTATGAAAAACAATCCCTTTTCATATTACTTAAAATTACATCAAGCCTCTAAAAATATTCCTCTTGCTTTTGGCTCATATTCCTATGATTTCCTAGCTTGGCTATATGACACACGGAGGACAGTATCGCAATAGATGTCAAAAAGGATGGCCATGATTGGCCTATGTTTGGACTTTTGACATTAACATGGAAACTTCTAAGTTTGTGAATTTTGAATTTCAAGGCACTAACATTGACTCTAAAAATCCAAAAAAAATTTAAAGGCTAATTTAGATTGTTCGAATTTTGCTGAAGATGTTCTTCACTCTTTATTTTCATTTTGAAATGCATGTAAAATTACTTTAGCAGTAATCTAATACTCTGTTATCATTCCACAAAATAAAAAAATTCAATTCACATAAATTAAAATTGAATAATATTCATTAGCTGTTGCATGTCATAAATGTACCTTCCAGCAGAGGACTTTGCATCTTTGTCAATGATCTCTTTTTCTTCTTCTTCTCCACTATTTTTCAATTCAACTCCCGGTTTTGGCTCGATTTTTCTAAAAGCCGGAATGTATAGGATGAAAGTGTTTGAAGCGCTTGTTCCAGAGGTGTTGCTCGCTGTAATAAGCTTTGTTAAGACAGCACTATTGGCCGCTGGCGTGCAAGACGAGGCGACGGTCGACGAAATGTCAGAATTCCCAATGTCTGAAGCAGCAAGTAGAATCACTTCTTGACGTTCGTCGGACATTTTTCCTTCACAATTTTAAAAACCTCTGACCAACCAGGAATCCATATATGAAAACTGCCGTGGATATTTCTGTTGACTTGAATTTTGACTCAGTGAGTTATCAGCTGTTCCTAAAGAAAGGATGTCAAAACCGATTCGTTCATTCAGCTGATAGCTGTTATAATCTCTGACGAGGTTGACGATTTTTTTCAGGGTTTATTTCAGTTCCAAAGACTTTGCACCACGTATATCAAGCCTCAGATGCTTGTCCTTGATCTGTATAAGGCTCCTTCACCATTTTATCTTTGTCTTGAGGTTATAACACGCCTGTGAAGCCCGTTTTCTTGCATCTGAGGTGTAAACAATATGGCGGACAATAACATCTGTTCATAGGGAACACCGCTGATATTCAGGCTCTTATTACCCATCAAGCAGCGCGCTCTGCGCTAAGAAATGTAGAAAAACCGGGAACCACGCATTTGTCGTCCTTATTTCCAGTTTTTCAAGAAACTACCTATTATAAATTGATATCTGTACTATATGAATCGTAGGATTCCTGTTAATATCAAGAATACAAAAAGATAGACTGTTCTGTTGCCATTGATCTTTTCCTCCATGAAATATAAGCTTGGGTTACCTGTGTATTTACCAGTACATTCGTAGATCTGTCCAGGAATGGCTGCCAAAGGAAACATATTTTCTCTTTCTATTACTAAAACGTGAAGGACGTGAAGGATTTTGAATTAGTGGGTTCGACCATCTTTTAGCGCAGACTTTTTGGATTTTTTGATATTTTTAAAATTGTAGATCTTTTAAAAATTTGGATTTGAAAAATGGTGAATTTAGGCAATTTTTAATTTCAAGAGGAATTGTGGAAGCGAGCAATCTGCCATAGTAGCTTATACACAGGAATCCTGAAGCTCATGCCCAGCTCCGCAAGGCTGCATCATCCGGGCCGCCCTCAGCAAAACATTTACCACACCAATCTGCCAAAAGAGAAAAACGTTTTATTTTTCGGCAGCACGTAGCCTATGCATATATTTTCTAATTATAACAGGTTAACTTTATAAAAGTGTGAGAATGAACGAGTGGCGACTAATTATGATTGAATATTTTGGTAAAGCCTCATATTCTAGAGTACATGTAGGTTCGATCTGTTATGTAATATTGCTTGGGTCACATAAAGAGTGCTGCAAGCTCTTTTATTTAAAATTAATCTCGTCAAGTGCGTCTGCTGTTCTTTCAAAAGCGACAAAAAAATCAATAAACAACAGAGAAGTTTTTATTTCCTTAAATGGGAAACTAAATTAACTACAGAATTTTATTTATTTGTTGTTGTGGAAGAGCTTCAGTGATGCCGTGTCACAGTCGGCGACTAAATGGAAAGTTGATTTTTTGCCGCAGGGTTTTGAATCTGTTATTGAATTATCCTAATGCAGTGTTGTTTCATAGCTTTCTAAACTCCATTATATCAACACAATTAACGTCAAAATATTCAAATGCATGCGAAACCGAGCAAGACAATGAATTTGTGCAAAAGCGCGAACTGTCTAGACCACAAAGTTACCAAAAACAGCGAGTTGGCACAAATTTCTGCCTTGTTTTGATTTCTAAATATATTTAATGACCAAAGAAATATGTTATGATAAAGTAATCGATGATTCATCTAGAGTCGGGCAATAGTAAACAAAAGCGAAACGATTCCAAATTTGCCACATTTTCAAAGGGAAAAGTCCCTTGACATCATTCCTTTGACACGGAAAATTGACAGAATGCATTTCGCTCCAATGCAAAATCTTGCCAGCCTTCAGAAGGTAGATTGGTGTCGGAACTGCTTCGAAAAAAAACAAGCTTTTTTGGCTTGCATTGTGTAATATGTAGCGTCTAAAAACATTGCAATGTCCTCTTTGATAATAAACACAAGACAATGGATGTGTATAAGATTTCGAAGACACTGATCAGATCCAATGAATAACATTTCACAGCGTGCGATCTTAGTGGGTTGGGCACACTGTCATTCAATGACGCATTACTAATAACGCTCAAATCATGACACAACCATTTCTTTCTCGAGAATCATTGATTTACAAATCCTTAGCCATCCACAAAACATGAAACAAAGTCCGAAGTGAAAATTCAGCGTTTTTAGCGTGACTTCAGCGTCAAAGTTCTGAATTCCAGTGATGTTTTGATTTGGCTCGTTGCATTTGATTGGTTTTCGCGAATGATTTCATCGATCACGTTTCGATTGTGTGACACGAGAACAATAGACTCAGTCCTTAAACAGTTCAGCTCTATTTTTACAACACAAAAGGTTCATATTTCCAAGCTAATGACTTTTAAGTATCATTATTTAGAGTCTCTAACTTTACATAAGTTAAGCCCAAGATTGCGTGTTTTGAAGCGTGTTCTAAGTTGTATTACGCGAGCCGTCTGGCAAGATTGCACGAGAACATTTATTTAGAAGCTAACAAACCAGCGTCTGCGATATCTTTCCTCACTCCGTCAATACAGAAATGACAGCTCACCCTTATCTCTTCAAAATTCAAGACTCATCAAATTACAAAAGCCCAGGCGCTAATTTTTGGCTGACCACACCAGACTTTATATTAAAAATTAAATCTTTATGATCTTTGAAATGCCTCAATAGAATAAAACATTCAATGTTAGATAATGGTTCGTTTTGACTATTTGCGAATGCAAGTAAATTCATTGTCCCTTTTCCGCGGTCAAATTCAATTTTGATTGACATTTCGCCGGTCTGTCACCAAAGCCCCTGCTGCTTGATAGGGAAATAATATACTACAGGCATCACAGACATTTTCACCCTTTTAAATCACGCTATTGACTGTGCTCTTTTCCTAATAGAAAGCAATTGTACCTAACGGCTGTAAGTTAAGCAAATCACTTTTATTTAAGTCACAATGGCGCAAAAATAATGTAGGAGTAGCTCTAGACCACGAACCTCGAAGCAATTCGATGTTGGCTCCACTCTGAAACTCCTCCTACTTTTGAACCACGTGGTCTGAAAAGAATGGCAACTATAGCAACAAGGGGTGAAATTTTGACAGCAAATTGACATACGCACCTCGAGTGAATACATTTTTATACGTGTGTTATTACAGTCGATCAAATCAAAAGCAAAAAGGCATTCTACACGCATCATATCATACTAGTCCGCACCGACACGGAAAGCGAGAATGTCGACGGCGCTCGTGTCCGCATTTTATGATGTAAACGATGTTGTTTACAAGGTGAGTCGATTTCACGAGGTTCTTTAAGATCTCTAATGAATTAATTTCACTTCACAATGTCCTATCTATACAAGCTTTTTGTTTGAGGTGATTAAAACTACATTTAAAGTTTCTTAAGCCCGAGAAAGATCACGTAAACATGCTAATTTGCTCTTTTGTAGAATAACAGAAATCTGAACACCAACACCTTCGACTTCAGACATAGAAATACTGATCGCCGTGTAGTCGCTCCTCCAAGACGACATTCGACTAACTCTTCTACCACAAGGCAGACTTCTTCAAACCTCATAACATTATCTAGTCTAACGAGTAAGCCACGAGAACGTTCGTTGAGTCTTAGCACAACGGCTTCGATTCAGGCTGACGAAGACCATAGAAGAAACAGTCAAGGTTCGAGCCGCTACAAGACTGAACTTTGCCGACCCTTTGAAGAAAGCGGGACTTGTAAATATGGCGATAAATGTCAGTTTGCTCATGGTGTACATGAGTTAAGGCATCTCACTCGTCATCCTAAATATAAAACGGAGCTCTGCCGTACTTTTCACACCATTGGTTTTTGTCCTTATGGGCCAAGATGTCATTTTATACACAACGCAGAAGAGAAGCGCGCCCCACCTCCCAACAGTCCCCGTTCGCCTCCACCACTATCGCCTTTAAATGGACCTCCATCTCCACCGCTTACTGAGCCAGCATCGCCTTTATCTACCTCGCTAACACCACCTTCGCCATCACCTTTGTCTTTCTACAACGACGAGAGCCCACTTCCAAGCCCGATAGAAAGCCCTCTACCTCTTCCAATGTCCAACTCTCCATCACTGAATAATGTCTTCAAGTTTCCATCACCAACTTCTCAAGATTGTGCTCCTGTGATTTCACCAAACGCCGTCAGCTCGCCTCGTTATACACCTTCAATTTCTCTAAAACCAGTTGAAGAAGAGAGAGATGATCTTCCACCTACTCCTCCTGATGCGTATGATGCGTTAGGCCGCCGTCGTCTCCCCGTGTTCAACACTCTTGGATACAAATAAGTAAGCTCATCGACGACTTTGGACTGCACAGAGTCTAACAACACATCGCCTATTCAGCGTAATGATTAAACAAACAGAACAAGCCGCAGGACTGGTGAATCAGTTAAGGACTTTTCATGTTGAAATATTCTAATTTGAAGCGTTATTTTTTATGATCGTCTTGTAGGAAAGAATATATATATATATATTATGCATTTATATAGAAAACTATTAGTTATTTATCGAAAAAAAAAGCCATTGAAAAAATTAACACGTACGAGAGCTTGTGTTAAACATGGGTTCTCTGTGCTTGTAACTTTTGTATGCTTTATATTTGTAATAATTGCTTAATGTACATTGAGGCTTTGGGAATGGGTTCATGGCTATTTTATAGGGCCACCTAACCGATTCTACTATATTTAATATATTATTTATTGTAACTTATCAATTGAACCGAATAACAGTTATTTTGTTACCAATTTCTCATACTCTCAGCCGATAAGTTCTTTATATTTGTTTAGAATCTCCCTAGAATATTGATAATTTCTTAATATATGTATTTACACGAACTTGAGGCAAGACAGAATTTGGACTTGGATAATTTATATAATAAAAAAAAACATCGTCGTTCAGTTTATTGTAAATAAGTCATATACTCATGGATAAACGAATCACACCACAATCATGTTGCTCTCAAGCTAATTTTATAAGAAAGGACACAGACAACTGTAGAGCAATTTATAAATTTATTAAATTAAAAGAAGCGATTTTTGAATACCGTCTGGCTGTTTATATTCTTTTTAAGGGTGTTCACAGCTTGTTAGCTGATGTTGTTTAGCTAAATCAACTTGTTCTGGTCTGTCTTATGCAAAATGCCTAAGTCATGGAGCTTTAGCTTGGCGCGAGAGTGATAGAGCTTTAGCTTTACGATTTGTAGGCGCGCTGCCATGAACTAGTCACTTCGCAAGCGCCATTTTGTCGACTGCCTTCGGTTTCATTTTACGCGTTCTCTGACCATAAAGTCATGGTGTGTATCGATGTCATTCCATGATTTGTGAAACAGACCTTGCAGTGGTCATCCAATGAAAGTCGTTAGTTTGACATGACCCTACAGTGACGAATGACATTATACTCGCAGACGAACTCGCGGAACTGCAAACATGAGACACTTGATGATATCAGCGTAAAATTAGTCAAATATTATTCTCTCCAACCTATTAATTACATCAGTATTCTTATCTGATTTGTTTGGGGCTTGATGTTAGCTTTGCTGGCTCTGAAGATTATGAACGAGCCAGTCAGTAACTCGTGTACTGTTTTGATTTCTGAGAGGGTTTTGATTGCTATTTTTCGCTTGATGTAATTAACAAACTCGGCGCTTAAACCTTAATTGATGAAATTGACAAATTTATACCTTTTTTCGTGTCCAAACAATGCATTATGCTAAGAAAAGTCATATTCTATGCCTTGAAACAGAGAAGTACTGATCAGTTTCCGTTCAGACTGTGGGGGAGCGAAAAGTGGGCTGAAGCCTGCAAAACGCGAGCGAAATCTCATATGACATATAAACAAGAAGAAAGCCATTCAAGTGCAACCGGATGTAAATAAATCATAGTTGTAACTTTGCCTTCGATAAAAATCGTAATATTTTCCAACAGAAATCGTCAGGGATACAACAACAACTTACAAGGAACGTTTCCTGTCTTGATCTAGATTTTTTGGCACAGATAGCAAATTCGTTTGTCATCATCGTAATCGCTTTTGCCTATTTCCGGTGTAACGTCAACTGCCATTTCGAAATAGCTGTGCTTTTGAATCAGTCACGTATGTATTAATATTTTTCCTGTAAATTTACGACCCTAGAAGAGTAATGCTGCTTGCGCTAATCTTTCTAAATATAGAAATTTTCCGTGGAAAACAAGTTTTACTTTAATAATTATGTGACCTTTGAAAAATCCCCTTTATCTTTTTCACTATAGTAGTATCTACTGGAGTTTTTAGGTCAACAATAGCCTTTCGTAAACAAATTTTGTGAACAATTCCGAATTCGTATTCTTTATCATAACTTTCGCAAACCCATCTATTTTGTTGAGTCATTTCAGAATGTTTTTCTAAGGTATCACATGTCACTCCTTGCACAAGTCATTGAAAATTACAGCGATCCCCCTCCCCATGAGTTATTTATTTGCACGTTTTTAAGCCTAGGCAAATGCAAGCCTTATAATGGGACTTACTGCCGCAAACCTTGGCACGGCGCTCATAGATTGTAAATTGACTTTGACGTTAGGGATTTTGCTGGCTAGTCTCTGTGATTAGGAATCCCCCTGACCCTTTATAGTCAACAAACAGCGAAAATAATCTGCTTGCTCAACTGGATACAATTACAGTAATTTTACCGTACTTCTAGATGCCGATGAAAGACCTTTAGAGGCATAAATTCGATTTGGTCAAGTGGAGGGTATCGAATATAGATTCACTCGGCATTCTTATGTTACTGACTGTATCGGTTAGTGACCTTTTCAAGAGAGAGTAGGTACGTCAAAAGATTTCTATTACAATCCACGTCTATTAACGAACAAATGAGTTATGTTTGGCTACATTGAATCTAGGCCAATCTATTTTCACTAATATCGCACCCCCCTCAAATAATTTTCGGACAATGAACTGTGTCTCATCACTTGGGTTAAAGAAATCACTTATAAGGCTTCGCACTGCCGTTCCAACCCACAATAGACCACAAACTCACTGCAAACTTGCGCAGGAATTTAAGGAAAAGTCGAACTCTTAAACCGGATTACGAGATTACGGTTTTTGCTTAGATTATCCCATTGCATACTGGGAAAGTGAATTAGAAGGGAAAACAAGAGCAATCGAAGAACGTACTCACAACGGAATTCTGAAGCATTTCTTTAAATTAATTCTGCCGGTTATTTCATAACCAATTTGATATTAAGAACAGAGAAAGTTCCAGAATAAGTTGCGACTGCACTGGGAGCTCTTTATCGTTCGAGGGCGGCAACGCGACCATTCATTATATCACCGGGAAAGGTAGTGTCAGGATGCCATGGATGACGTAGACGCTCGACCCCGCCCTTAAATTATGTATCAATTCGTCTGGCTATTAATACAAACTGCTCCTTGGAAGTTCGAAACATCTGACCTATAGACTATCATAACTGCGTTTAAATAAGGCAAGTCATGCGAATAAAGTTTGTTGTTGTTGTTGTTGTTGTTGTTGCTACCTGCATGGCAACAGTTTCCTACAACAAATTATCATGGACTGGACTAGAAACGGAGAACAAACTTCAGGAAGTCCAAACATAGACTATAGACGGTTCAGCAATTCATGCAACGGTTTCCTGTATTAGTAAAAAGTATTATCCACGCGTTAATCTTTTGGTAAAAAAAGTAAATATAGAATTTAGAGTTTGTAGCGTTCTATTGGCTCCTACATCGAATGGCGGGGATCTCTAGAGGCAAAATCGAAGACATGGTGTCGTATGGTGTTTTATTTAAGGTTGTTGGCCCACCAACGTCTAACAACAAGCTGGTATCTTTAAATAAGAATGACGACAATGCTTCGGCTAATCCTTTCAAGCAAAAGGTGTAAGAAGGTTATGTCTAGATTTAATGACAATAAAATGGTTAGCGGAATATAGCTCTAGGGTTCACGTTTAGCTGGTTGATTGATATATACCTATTTCAAAAAAGGTTTGGATAAAATAACGAATGTCAATCAGTTCGAACGGCGATTGCACGACCGAAAGTAGCCATGGGTATTGGTAATTTGGTGAGAAATAGCAACATTTGTACTGTATATAATCTCTAGTGAACATTGACTCCATTTAGTCCCCATTTCTATGCAAGGTGAGTCAAATAAGACAAATTTTGTTTGTCAAAACAGTGAAACCAAAGTCCCTTTCGGTTGTGCATTTCTCCCTTCGATGACCCGCGTCGATCGCCGTTCTCCCGAAAACGTTTTTTGAAATAGGCCGTATATCGGCGATATTGTAGTCCAGTCAGAGCTTTATTTTGAGTTATGTCTCACTATAGACTGAATACTTTTAAAAGATGACATGTTATTTTTAACAAGCATTCTTTATTTTTTTCGAACAATTTATTTATTTTTTTTCATGACGATTTATTTTGCTTGAGTCAAAGACGGTGTGATGCGGACTGACTGCAAACTTTCAATAATGCTATCTTCGATAAAAGTCTACTTTTTTTTATTGAACTGAGATAAATTWTGGTTTGTTTTTCGGTACGTCAGAGCTCTGCCAACCATTCTGATGAATGCTCATTGTATTGTTCTCTGCTCACTTTATTTTGACGGTAAATTTTCTTAAGGACTGAAACCACACGCAAGGTGATGCCACGCGGTGACAAGCTCAGCCCAGTTATTTTCCTATCAAACCTCATAAGCCTTTCACGTGTTCACGGTGGTAAACCGCTATATATAGGTCCCCTTTCATAATAAAGTTGTAGTCCAGTCGCTGGCCCCTACTCTTTGCTCCGCTTTAAATTGTGTCGCCGAAGACTAGCTAAATAAAGTTGATGATCTGACAGTTTATGGCAATGGCTCATAAATAAACTTTATTTGCTAAAAAATCATAAATTTGCTGACTCAGTTTAGATGGTATCTTTTAGGGAAACGTCATGCAAGACCCTATATCTTTTATTAGTACCCCTATACCCCGGGAGTATGGGAACAAAAACACAACCACATCCTTTCCAAAACACAAATATAAATGTGTAATATAAAAATGATGTAGTATGCTTTTACATACCCCCATTTGTTTAGAGATGGACTTCCGCAAGAGGTTTGGACTCATTAACAATGACTTCCGGCGGAAACCAGTGTAAATATTGTAAAGCTAGAGACAAAACACCAGCAAATCCAACGATACAGGACGGATGTTTGTTAAGCCATGTAACTGGTATTAGGGGGGGGGGGGGGGTAATCGGTGATATCCATTCAATCGAGTACGTCAGAATACCCGAGAGGAGTACGATTGCTGACATTTTCAGCCGGTTCTCTTTTCTTCCTCTCTCTCAAGGACGCACGAAGGCTAGTCTTTATGACAATGTATGACAATTCAGTCGCATTCCCTACCTGTTGCGTCACGCGCCGTCACGCATGGATTTCTGCACAAAGCACCATTGCGTGACTAGAATTACGTCAACACAACGTAAAGGAACACGATGCTGAAATGCACTGTCTACTTTCTTGTTTTTAGTCAAAGCAATTCAACATATAAGTATATAGAGATACACAGGTTAGTGTCGCCCTCTAGAGCTTCAAACACAGGCTTTCTTTCAGGGAAAATCTAGAATGAGGACCAAAGGCTGCACAGAGGATAACCGGAACGTCGATTCAGTCATTACCAAAGAAAATTTTTCACTCGGGTCGAAAGATCAATTGAAGAAACGAGTCACGTTAAAATATTATTACGGATCGTGCTGCATGACAAAGAACATGTACGATGCTGTGAGCCATGTGATAAATCCCGGTTACTCACGAACAGAGCTTACAGGAAACTAAGTTGCGATTCGGGGTCACGCACAGGTCACGCACTACGTCATATTACGTGACCACAGCCTTTCTGTTTTGTTACGCAAGGGAGATTTTTGAGGATTAAAAAAGGTTTTCGAACGTCCAGAGTATTTATTATGGATTTGTTCAGCCTCTGCACATCCCTCTAGACGCCTTGTAAGCTGTGATCGAATAAACAAAGTAATTCTAAAAGGAAATTGGTTTATAAGGAATTTTGAGAATTTTTAGTTCGTGGGCTATAAACACCACCGAGACACTCATGAAGGTGGATTGCATGACAGCCGGCGGCAAAAAAACTCTGATTGGTGGAAAAAAAATAGCCACAAATTTAATAAAGCGCTTTATATAGATTATTTCAGCCCGGTCTTGTGACGTCTTAGACTCATGCAGCACGAAATGAAATTGATCAGTAGTTTTTCGTCATTTTCATCACTCGTAGCTAACGAATTTGCTTCTGGGAGCTGAAATGCACGGTGATATGATGAAATTAAGCTGGAACTCGAAAATTTAATTTTCTTTAATATTAAATGTCGTAAAAAAGACAAAGGAAGAGAAAAGACGAGAAAATGCCTATAAAAAGATCATAATCTAAATAATCATGAAATGATTTATACTTCCTCTCAAATTTTGTTAGAATTGAAATACATTTTCCCATTTTGTTTAGATTGCCAGCCAGTTCCTAAAGGTGTATTTACTTTGTCTTCAAACCCTGTCATTGCCTATAGTTCTCTCGAAATAATGTTATTCAAAGACTTATAGAATTATCAAAAATTATCCCTCGTTTTTGATTCTCTCTTATGACTAAGCAATAAATTGAATTATAATGTCTCAAATTTCAAGTTATAAATTCAGCCACTTTTGCACTTTTATTTTTGGAAATCTTACTCTCTTTGATACGTTACGTCATCCGTTGTTATGGTAGCGTAGTTAGTGCACTTTTGAATGTCAGTCGTCCCCATGGTTAATCACGATCGATCGTCGGCCGGTGAAAATTGAAGACAGTAAGAGTTTTTTGTGTGATTTTTTATGATATTGACCACTTGATTTTAGTAGATCAAAAAAAAAAAAGCATGTCAAAATATGAAATTACCAACAAATAAACAAACAAACAAATCCGAAAAAGGAAAAAATTGAAGCAGTTCAACTAAAAGAAGGAATACTCGATCCACTGCATGATATGTGATGCTCAAAGTCCGCGCAATTAGTTCCAGTCCGAGGCGCAGTAAATGTGTGGAACTAATGGAAAGGACTTTGAAATACAAGTCCAGTCTGATACAACCGATCCCGAAGAGTGTGCAGCTAAAAAGACATTTCCAATGCTCCAATTTCCAGGTGTCTTATGAAAAGATTCACTCACTCCTTCGCGTAACTGGTCTAGAATGGAGAAATCAGTGCAGTTTTAAAATTCAGTCAGAGAATAATTCATATGTGGGACTGAACAATCAAACACGTGCGTGACAATTGGAATATTGGAAATGACTCAGTTTACTGTGAACAACATGCACTTCAAGGAACTGCACCTGCCGGATTATTTTGCAGTCCTTTGAAAGTCAAACTCAAACTGTTTTATTATCATAATATCATGAATAGCTTCATATCAGCACAAATACGAAAAACAACTAGCTATTTCGACCAATGCGTGGCTCGATATTGACATAATTTCAGTTTGGAGCTCCTTGTTTTTTTTCCTCAGTTTTTTTTTTTTTTTGAAATTAGTCAAAATTCAAAAGTCCAAAGAGTTTTTAAAGAGACTTTGGAAAAAAAATTCAATGTGTCCACTCCAGCGGACTTGCTGAGATTTCAAGTCTCACTACTTGATTTTCAATGCATCGTGGGATCAGGTAAAGAAATACGTCATGTTCTGTCCCAATATATCCTACAATGCATTGCGTATACGGTACATGACTAATGACGTAAAGCTTCAGGATTGACGTACTTCTGCTTACCTCATGAATAATTGACGAGTTCTGAGTAATATGATTTCGCGACTATTAGTTCTGACCTGATTAAAATCAAAACAAATGCAGTCTGACCTTTGGAAATTAGCATGGTTTTTCTTTTACAAATTTGGAAATGGCTTCCGAATCCATCGTAGATGCCATATGACGTAATATAAGCGTTGTCATTAGAAACCACTGTTGAACAAAACTTATCGACAAGGATTTATGAGAAACATTCTAATAATACTAATAATGATAGAGAGGTTTTAAATCTTTGAATTTGAAAAGAAAATGACTACATATTTTGAGAAATTCGATAGTGAAAGAAAGAAAATTTGAGACGGTTTGATCACTACTACCAACTTATAGCCCGCCGTGGGCCTCAGTGTGAGTGCAGAGCCCGCCGGTCCAAAAAATTTTGTTTTTGAATAAAAAAAACAATTGAGCAATTGAAATCTCGAGTGATATGCTGTGATTAGGATGATCCATAGTCAAAACTTCAAAGCCGTTCTCGATTGCGTTTTCGGGCGACAAATGTTTTTTTCTCCAGCATTGCATAATGCCCTCGTTTGTACTACTATATTGCTTAATCAGTTTAAGGAAAACCTCTCTATCTGACATGTATGTTAGTTGAAACTTGACATTTTGGCACTAAACTCTCTGTAGTCAAAAGAGAACACTTAAGATTCTTCAAATACTCCAGATAAAGTTCCTTGAAACGAAAAACTATTTAACAAGAAGGTCAACTACCACTTCATGCTCCTAGCATTACACACGCGCGTGGCGAGAGAACCACGCACGAACGACCGGGAACCTTTATTTCATGTTTATTTTTACCATCTTGTATTCATTGGTCTTTTGTTAGTGAAATTATGGGATGAGTAAGGAGTATTTTTAACCTGGGTACCAAAGGTTATAACTTACCCTTTCTCATAGTATATTTACGGCTTCATAGCACTTGTCAGCGTAAATATATTATGAGAAAGGGTAAATTCCAATTTCTGGTAATCTGTACACGTTTTTCATTTTGCACGTGCTTGTCCTGATAAGAAAAACTAACGGCGTTTTACTCAAAGTTAGTTTAGGAAAATTGCTAAGGTTTCCTTTCAAATACATCCTCGGGAACCTAGGTGCAATCTTGTGTGACTTCTATGGTTTGTTTCCAACTCCCAGACTGAGAAATAATAATTAATAAGTATTTTTCAGTGAGGAAGTAACAAAGACAACAAAAATTAGATTACGCCTTGCTATCGGTTCCCGCGGATGCTTCGATGCGTAGACGGTAGTAGGATTCAGCGCAAAATTGCCCCATAATATGTCAATCATCTGTTGCGTAATTAGATAGTACTCAAGCACTTGAGAACGTTGTAACCGAAAATACAGCATTACAACATTGCTAAACTTTCTCAATGTACATTTTGTTTGTACAGCACTCGCCATTTTGAATTTTAGGCCACTTTCAAATGTCAGTCATCTGTTACGTAGATAGCATCGAAGGACTCGAGACTCTTGTTACCAAAAATGCTGCATTACAACATTGTTAAACTTGCTCAATACCTATGAGTTATCATATTTTTTACAGCACTTGCAGTTTTGAATTTTAGGCCAAATGTCCATGATCATCATCATCGCACCAAAACGCGTTTTTGTGTCGTTCTAGTTTCCTCAAGGGAATTGTAAAACAACGCAAACCGCATTTGGACAACAAGACCTTATATTCCTAGAGCGAAGGCCATTCAAGGTTATTAAGCCAACTCTCCCACACCCAGATCCTACGGAATACTTTGAAATCTTCTCTTTGCGGCCAAACGTTTCGATGAAGTTCTCTTAATGATACTTTTTCAAGCCAATCGAATCAAAACAACAATTTATGTACTATTTCTAAGATTTGCTTCATTCATATAAATAAAGTATATATATTATATACAATGGCCTGTTATGTTTTAGTGTTACTATGACAACGTATGGCAAGTACCGTTTGTTACAAAGTGACCCCTAAATGATAGTCATATTGATGTCCGTTCGTTATTACAGGTCGTGTAGTGCGGAAACGTCTCTTAATGCGGCCTGTAACAACATGAGTTTTACTCGACGACACGTCCGTACTCCTCTCAAGTACCTTCTCATGTTTTCTTTTGAGGAACTTCCCTCCTTTTTTACGCGACACGTGTCCGACGCTCGCCCTTCCTCGTGGCGTAGGCTCAAATATGTCAGGTATGGTGGTTGATAGTTTAGTCTGTGAGGATAAAGACAGAGAGCTCCATTTGCTCTTCTTTTCTCGTTTGGCTTCCGGATGACGGGTCGTTTCATCGTCGTGTCTTTGTCGTTTACGTCCCGGATGAAGTATAGATTCCGTCACGTCTTCGTAGTTGCTTCGTGACTGAAGGTTTGCTCTTGCCGACATGATAAGTTCCCGTATGACTGTCGAATCTCTCCTTAAAGGTCTTAATGGAAAGTACGCATGCGTGAGCGGTTGTATACGTAATAGGTTATTCTTAGTAACATTACTGTCCTGCCAGTTATTAAAGGCAATCATGGGAACGAGACTGTCACCAAATAAGGAGTACAATCGTTGGTAGGGGCTGTTTGATTGGTTGGAATTGGTTGAAGTGGAGCGCGAACGCTGAGAAATGGACGGTCGTCGTTCCATCATACTCGCTCCAGCCCATGGCGAGAGATTTGCGCGGAGCATGGGGTGAGAGGAGTTGTTGACTTGGAAATTATAGGAATTGACTGGGACTCCTTTGGCCTTTGACTTTAAAAGACAACTTGATGCTTGCTGGAGATAAAAATAAAAAATGCCGTCATTTATGTTCACGCCAACGCCATTAACGGCACACATTGCTTCGGGGTGCTTAGAAAACCCGGAAGCTGACTAGCTTTCCTCTTTAAAAATACCGGGCTTCCTGTGTTAAGCCAGTGACAGCGCGGGATTGGTACGCACTCGGTTCCAATTTTGTTCACAAGAAACACTCACTTATTTAAAACAATCACTACGTCACTTTTGACTTAACACTCACTGTACATACTGCTTTTTCTGATGGTGAGAAAGGAAAACTGACATAAAGTACACGGATAAAATGGTGGAAACTAGCGGTAAACTAGTGTGAGCTGCGTCGGCGTTTCTAAAGAAACAGTTGTGTAAAAAGATAAATTTAACATCGTAAAAAAGGTGAAACAACTTGCTGAAGTTTCGGATAAAACCCTTGTGTCAAGGAAAAGATCGACAAAGAAACAAAACATAGCCGAAACTCCATCCCAGTCCACAGTGGCGCAAGTTAAAGGGAGAGCGTCGCTGTACTTACCAGCAATGCGCCGTACACTTGATATGCCTCCCCCTGTAGCACAGCATTAGATGGACTGTTGTCGTGTAGAACTTGCTGTAGTAGCTTCCAGTAATTCTTGATATACGGCAAGAGAAAGTGTTCAAGGCCCTTTGAAAGTTCAAATATATTGATAATGGTGAGTTTTTCACCGGAAACCTGAGCTTCCTTAACAAATTGCAAAATGTTTATGAAAGCGATTTTGTGGTCACAATACTCCAGTTTCGAATTCATAGCGAATAACCGCTGCTTTATTTGACAACAGATTCTCTTGCGCAAAGACCTTACAAACACAAMAGAGARCACGAGRAAATGTCGTTATTACAATAGACTTGAAAATTTGCATTTTTCCCGGGTTGAGATTATCCCTGTATTCCCATAAGACCTAAGGTATGAGCAGGGTTAGCCTCAACTCGGGGAAAATGTAGATTCTTAGCGCTCTATTGTATTAACAACATTTTCTCGTGCTTTCTCTTGTCTTTGGTAAGTTTTTTGCGTAATAGAATCTTCTGTCAAGTAAAACAGCGGTTATTCGCTTTAAACTCGAAACTGGAGTATTGACATTTGGTCAAAAGCATGAGAGTCTAAACATAACTGTGTGTAACATAACTGTGTGTAACATAAGTGTGTGTAACATAAGTGCTATTGTAAGGCAAATAATTGTTGACGGATTCAAGAAGGTTACACAAGTAAGGACGAGATCGAAATGGATCATAGGCAAATACTACTCTTATAAAAACACAGCTAAACAAACGCTGCGCAAGCTTTAAAACCAGCGCAAAATGTGCAGCGCACACTCAGTGGAATAGAAATATCAGTGCCAATCAGCGTTATGATGCGATTTTTCCCCCCGTGATCACACTGTGTCTGCCCTTGCCAATTGTCTTCCCATGATCTCTTTTCGGCCAACATTTGTTCAGTTCGTTGTATACATAGATAGGGGGGGAGGGTACTGTATATTTAACAATTAGACCTCGAGGTCGAGTGGACTACGAGCTAATAGCCCATGAGGCCGAGTCCGCGAGGCCGAGAGGTCTAATTGTTTTAGTATAAACATACTAATCGGTCAAATAATGAAAACAAATTGAAATATCCTTAAAATAATTTATAAATTATAATTTATTTATTTTGATTTTCCCGCGAGTGGTCTATCACAAATTAGACCATTAGTAGAGTAGCCAATAACAGCGCAGTATGAGTGATAGACCATTAGTACGTTTATACTAAAGTTGTATAGCAGGCGATTGAAAAAAAGCCCAAATCGCATCGCTTTGTATAATGTTGCCGATATACTTTGCTTTACCTCAGGTCCAAGCTCTGCTAAACCCACTACGGCGCCATAATGTGAGCAATATGGTCTTCCATCATCAACTAACACCTCTTGCAAAGTCATCAATAGTTGATGTCGAAGATAGTTCACTGTATTACTGCATTTGCTGGAAATAACAGTATAAACAATATATTTTAGAAGAGTGGCTTATTTGGTAGAGTTGGTCTTTGAAGATTGCCCTTTTGTGGGGCTTCCTGTCCCTTCGAAAAGAAGAGAKGACAGAAATCCCAACAAAGGATACCTTCCACTCGCTCTGTGACTGCGTCACTAGACTAAATGGCAATACACTACATGGAGAACATGGAGGAACATGGAGAAGGTTTTTGCATTTTTCTTTTTTTCGTGAATAAATGCCGTATACATCATCCAAAAGTTGTATACCCACCGACTAATGTGTGCCAGTATACGGGCTGCATCATCACGAAGTCGCCAGTGATCGTTGGCAGGGTTGAGAGAGATGGCAAGACTTTCAAGCAAACAGTACATTACAGCAGTTACAAGCTGAATTACCTGACAGTACAAAATGAAAAAATGAATGAATGAAAAAGTGAATAATCGAATAAATGAACAAACAAATAGGTGAACAAATGAATAAATGAATAAATAGGTGAGCTAGTAAGTCAACAAATAAGAAAGGAATGATCGTCTTCATCATTAGGAGTCACTTGACTCCATGTTACTACTTAACAATTAGACCTCGAGGTCGAGTGGACTACGAGCTAATAGCCCATGAGGCCGAGTCCGCGAGGCCGAGTCCGAGAGTATGTTTTATTATAAACATACTAATCGGTCAAATAATGAAAACAAATTGAAATATCCTTAGAACAATTTATAATTTATTTATTTTGATTTTCCCACGAGTGGTCTATCACAAATTAGACCATTAGTAGAGTAGCCAATCACAGCGCAGTATGAGTGATAGACCATTAGTATGTTTATACTAAAGATTGTTAACCAGGTGCATTGATTATCATGGGATATTGTGCGCCTGCATGGTAACTGATCTGTCCCATGCACGACTCATAATATCAATTATCATATTATGTTCATAATACCAAAAGTCCTTACATATGGTTCCAGGAAGAGACTTGAATTGTCCACTATAGACCTCACCATGGCCAGGATATGACTGAGCTGCTTAAGATCATGGCTATACGTCTTCACCTGATCATTACAAACAAGAAAAAAAAGGACCAAATTATTGAAGAGACTGTGAAGCTTCTCCTTCACCCTTATCCCCTTCTGAGTAGCTGTGAACTCCTGGATGCACAGGCATTGCTGACCAATGTTTGACAGTTTTCCCTGTCAATTAATGTCTGGAGCTCATTCAGTTTTGAGGAAAAAGTCTTAAAATCTTATTGGTGGAGTTAATTTGGATAATAGGAGCAAAAAATGGAGGTTTACATTCTCCTTCACAGTGTACCCTTTTATTGGGCTTCCTGTCCCTGGCTGTGAAGGAGACCACTTCTGTGGGAGCTTACATATTTACAAAAATTTAAGGGCCATGTTCCAACACTGCATCCATTTCTAGCTTTTTGTTTAGTTTGAAAATAAAAATATATTTTAGTTTGAGCAACAACCTCTTTATAAATCTCTTTACACTTTTGCTCTATGAATGAAAACATTTTAAGATTTGACTTAAAACTATGCAAATGGGTTCTGATAAATTGAACACTGGTGAACCATGGCCTTTTAGATGAATTGCAATATAATTAGTAGACTCTTAAGAATCAATCTTACCCCTACTGATATAAAGTTTATGAAGTAAGCAAGAAGCGTTGATATTTTGGGGTTTGTTCTTAAGTCTTCCAAGCTGACCTAAAATAAAATGCATACACATTTGTCAATTTTGAGTGTATTTAAAGTATTTTAAATTGAGCAGTAATGACTTACCTTTCTACATTTTTCATTATCTCCAAGAATAGCCTTAGTAATATGTTCATAGTATCTATGGCAAGCCTAAATGTTAATCGTAGCAAAATGTATTCAGTCACTATGTACAAAAGCACTAATCCAAGACACAGGAAGCCCAAGCATTTTGTTTCAACAACAAGCAATAAAGCAGGTCTAATGAGGTGTATCCACATTAATGCCTCACCTCCAGTAATTAAAATGTACTTTATTAAAAAGTAAACACAAAGAAACAAATGTTTCCTTACCTCAGACAGTGTCTTTTGCTGTGGAGCATTCTCACTGTTTACTGATTGCTTTCCTGTTTATATAATGTACATAAAATTAATATCTGTCTCCTTGCAAATGAATGCAACTGCCAATGAAATACTTTCATGAAGATGCCACACAGTCATAACTTGCATTTTTTGTTAACATGTAATCACTGCCTTGCATCACAATATTAATCATTTAATGTTAAGTTTATGGCCCATGTGGAGAGAGAATAGACCTTTAAAAATCCACCACTTCCTAGGTTTTTCATCATTTCTCCCTCATCCCTTGTATATTTATGGGTCATTTCTCCTCCATTGGTGTCTCTTGCTCTCCCACACCCTCTATTATATTGTGATTTAATATCCTAGAGTTTTTAGAGGGATTTCTTCCTTCTTCTTGTCAATGTTCTTTCACCCTCAATGTGCATCCAATAACCTTTGCATGATTTTTTCACATAAAAAAATTTGCAATCTTTGATTTTGAACCAATCAGAAAACAAGGTTCTTGGATTTACAGAGGCCTTTAATATTGTTAAATAGATTGTATTCTCGATTAAACACTGCTTCTTCTACGTTTGTATATGTTTAATTTCCTACGTACAGAGAAATCTTGGATTGTATTCTATTATACCTTGAGATGTTCCTTGGTTTGCAGGTTGAGGTATCCCTTCAATACACAGCCATTGTGCTATATACAATAATAATAATAATTATAATTATACAATAATTACAATATACTAATCATCAGCCATGTTATATGAAGATAGCAAAGAATTCCATGATAAAATTTAATTTAATTTAATTATAATTGCAGCCTCAGATACATCAACCTACTGACTTTTGACTTTTTTTTGACCCATGATGCACACTTAGGGAGTAAGCTTATGATAAACTAGACGCTCTTGGAGCGTGAAGTCGGACTAGCTATTTTTGAATGTATATCATATCATGGCGTAGAATATTATATTTTTTACTAGTGAAAGCAAGAATGCGTGACCGTTTATTCACAGCCAATTCTTCGTTTTCATGTGACGTCATCGTAAAACCAAAACCAGAAATAAACATCTTATAATAATAATTTCAAAATATGTTTTAGAAACTATTGAGATGACTACCATGAAAAAGTTTGAAGTCATTTCGTTATTTTGTGCTCAAGTTATAAGKGCCCAAAGTCTGTCACGCAAGACTGTCACGCGTTTCGTATTAGCGACGAAACTCAAAACTAATTCACCTAAGATGGAAGATTTTACCTTAGGCATGTTCAGAGTATTTATTTTTAGTATATTTCAGTAAAAGATATTGAAATATGTCGAAAAATCCATCATAATTACTCGTGACCAGGGCCTTGGCCGGGTCACGAGTCATAAAATGCAACGCGTATAGTTTTTTTTTTCCAAGTCAGAAGTTTGCCTTCGGGTCTCCCGATCGCCCTCCGATCTATCACGAAATATCACATTACGAACTCGGCTGTAAACAATCGTGTAATAGAACAGTTAACTGCCCGGGAGCTGTAGCTTTTATAGTAATTCTTTGATATTCGAGGCCTTTTGTTATTCCAAGACATTCATCTGTGTCGAAGCATATATTATGACATTGGTTTAGGTCATCAAGGTTGGTGTATCGAGCCAAATAGTGCATTTTCCTTGGTGAGATGTAAACCGATCGTAGGCTGAGTGAAGCCGCAACGTGGCTGTTTGATTCCGAGTTGCATAGCCTAAATTTTCAATTTGATGAGCAATTCTGTCTCCTGTCTCTTCAGGATTAAAGAAAACAATGCTATTCACGGGGTAGTATTCCTAGATGAGTATTGAAGCGATTATGGTTTTATAGAGAGCGGATAACCATCTTGTTGAGATCGTTAGCACGGCGCGAACTATCACCGACACTTCGAAAATTGTCTGATTTTCAGGATATTGTGGTTTAATACCTAACCTTTAAATTACTACAATAAGAATACGTCTATCCATATTTTTACTCTGTTTGACATGAAAGATTTTCGGATTGAACGATTTCAGTCACGTCTGCATTCCTTACGTGATGTTTACCGTGTAGATTTGTCATCTAGTTCCTTCAAAGCTGCTAAATATAGGCGAAGTGAAAAGTTTTAAATGAGCTCAATTTGGAAAAGGACTGAATAAGCTAGCACTTTTCAACACCTTTAGGTCACGAGTACACCCTGCTGGCAGGGTCTAGTTATTAGTCTTTGAAGTTTCGGACATTTTGCTGGTGGTATCGACATATCGGTCATCTCGCCTAGAACGCTTTCGGCATACATTGATTGTCAATAATTCCGAAACGAAAGGCTCTATAACGTTGAAACTTTACCTACCAGTTTATGTGGTTTTAACAGCTTTACAATATTATAAAGGTTATATTTTATTACGATGCGAATTTAAGTTCTTGAAAATAATAATCCCTTATATGAAATAAAAGAATACGATATTCTTTTCGACTGCTCTCTGCAACGACTTCAAAACGATAGAAATCTAAATTTTGACCTAAAAGGTCATGTAGTTAATACTTAGAGACTAGATGTCTGTAAGTGATATCATATCTAATACGTTTTTAATTCAAATTGTTGACCTCTCAGGCAAAGAAAATAAAAACTTTACAAGGAAAAAGATGCCTATAAAATYATTAAATTCGCCTTTCTATTTTTGATAAACAAAGTTTCTTCTTGTTCTAATTTGAAATCTTTGCCCCCACAAGACTATCTAACACTAGACAGGATATTGATTCAGTCTTGCAAGCATACAACTCGAAACTCTATGCGATCTGCACATGCGCGTACTTCTAATGCCTAGACAGATGCATTCCGATGAGATCACAGATACCACATTTGTAAACGAATTGTTTTTTTGTCATATAAAASCCAAGTAGCATATAACATTTACTAACGATATTCGTACATCAATACGCTTGAGCTTCCGGTCATGTAATAACACTGCTAACCCAATAGTTAATTATTAAATTCTTAACTTCCGGTGGTCCAAACGCGACATAATACATACCATAACAAAAGGTAAAACTAAAGTCGGACCGCCTTCGGCTAGTCCGACTAAAAAATCAAAATGGTCTAGGTTGATGTATCTGAGTCTGCAATTAAATCCAAACTACAAACATCTTTTCAAGATAATTATATATTATTTTTAGTTCCTTTTATTAATCCATTCAACAAGCAACAGTATCTTTGTTTTAGTATTATTATGTTTTTTTATCTTTGTTTTACACCAACCGTATAACATCTACAATTTATAATGATAAATATATATTAAATAGATTGCCTTACCTTTTACAGTAGTTTTGCCAGGATCAGTAGGGACAACAGTACCAAGAGCAAGCTCCCTCACAGAGACATCCTTCTCTTCTACAAAAAAGATCTCTGTTTCTTTGACGGTTGTGTTACGGAATGGCATCTCCTCACTTGATCCATATCCATAAATTGGCTAAAAAACAAACAATTTCTTTATAGCTTTGTCAGGAATTTCATTAGAAGCTGGTAACAAGTGAAAATGTGCATCTATTTTGGCCTTTGGGCTGGCTACTTTTGCCAAATTACAGTTGAAATGCTTGTATTTCCTTAAATGGTTACTTACTTGTACAGCCACCTAGTGCTCTGCATATGTACATGTAACTATTAATTGCAATAAAACACTGTCCTGGCCAGATGTGAAAGAGAAAACAATGCAAGAATACTACTGCACTAGAGTCAGAGGGGCACAAAAGATGGAGAGAGCCAAAAAACACCTGGCACAGAACAGTGGCAACAGAATTGAACAGAATTGGAAGGTTGGATCCCAGGGGGCCTTGACAAGTTCACCGACTAGCCAAACTAACCACTCTTTCAGGTTCAAAAATAATGAAATGAAAATTATAATGAAATGAGATGAGAGAAATTATCCTATAAGCAAATACTTTAAAATCAAAATGAGAAGTATTTTGAAAAACAGCTGAAGTAGCTTTCTTCTGAAAAAAATCTAATCTTCTGAAGCTATTCATCTAACCTTTCAATAATTTTTCTTTGGCTAGTCTATGGAACTCAATAACTGAGTGGGATACAATATCATCAAAAGAAAGGCCCACTTATAGGACTGTATGAGATACAATGTGCACTCCTACTGGCTGATGTGTGCATGTCATTTATAATTCTAATGTTGTACACACACCTCAATACTGCAAATCTGCAATGCCCTGTTCAAATCATCTGTTGTCAATCTTCTTCTTTTGGCATGTTTCATGTATTGTGATGCCGTCTTTGAAAATACAAAGTATCAGAGAAATATCAGAAACACTGCATAAATCTATAATAATATTCAAAGAGGATATTTATGTTTCAGTGGATGGGTGGGAAGTGAAATACTTCCCATTCAAGTTTTCAAATTAACGTTTGCCTAATAAAAGTTGATAAAATCACGCGCCAAACTTGTCAATTGACTTGCCAAATCTAAGAGCTTCTTCACGTGCCAAATTTTGTGGTAAGTCAAAACTCCAAACTTGTTTGTTATGAAACGAAAGTCAATAGAAATGACGTCAAGCTTACTGAAAAGTGTGTATACTAGTTTTCTGAAATACAGTGAAAACGCTATTCATTAATCGCTACAAAATTTATTCGTACCTGAATGACATGCCGAATCCTGAAGGTCGCATCTTCGGCCAGTGACTTGCTCAAAGAATTTGGAAGTCCAACTACGCCAATTGTCTCAGCAAACAGGTTGATGCTGTCGGGTGAGAGGAGAGTAAATCGTGTTTCCTCTTGAGCTTTTGTTGTCATCGTCTTTAAAGCATCTGAACTATGACAGACTTTTCAAACAACTTTGAATCAATCTGATTTATCCGCCATGTTGGACGAAAGTGATAGTGGGAAACTGGAACGAGGTATCTTCAATCCACAGGGAGCCCAAGCTGAACGGTGTCTCTATTTTCATCTTTGACGCTTATTTTGATATTTTGTGTCTTCCCGGGTGTTCCTTCTTCAAATATCTTGAGATGATGTCTCGTTTTAGGTCTATTTTTCATGTTAATATCATAATTCAATTGAGAATTCTGCTTCCACCAAATGTATGCTTTTGAGCATCTATATTTAAAAAAGAAAAAAAAGAAAGAAAAAAGGAAATGGAAAAGAAAATGAAAACAATAGCAGCAAAAACAGGACAGCTATTCGAGGCAAAATACTTCTGCTTCCTCATAAGAAAAATATCAATCTAAGAGGGGTAGGGAGGGGCAGTTCTGGCTCTACACTGATCAACAAGATTGCTGGCTCGGGTTAGAAGGTGACAAGAGCAAAGTCCAGTCACAACAAATCGAACGTGGAAGAATAGAAGGTGTTTTTGCCAGCTGTAAACCGTGAATTGTGTTTGTCGGGAACTGAAGTTGCAGGGCAGAAAGCTTCATCTGGTAAGCAATTCTTTTTTAGCATTTTACAAGCTAAAACTTCAATGCGTGCAAGTGTTATTGTTTTTGTTGAATACATTATCGCGGAAGCATGACTTCCATCATGTCTTCATTTCAACTTCAATASTTTAGCAAATGTGGAAAATCTTTCAATTTGACTTAATGTTGATGGTTTTGAACTGCTGATGTTTGTTAAAGAAGGTATTTAAGGTCTTTTTTTTTTAGGTGTAAAGGTTCATAATATATTGCTTGTCCTTCAGACCACGTGAATTATCGAAAATACGTGGCAGAGAGCGCGAACAAAGCTTAATATTGTACAACGTACGAAAGTGAACAAACTGAAGTTTGAAAATATTCTATTGTTTTTGTATTTTTGTCATCTTAAGGAAGTAATTCCTTTCATGATATGTCAGTTTTACGATCAAAAGCGTGATAAGTTTAACTTGTTATTCGTTGACTTCAAAGCTTTTCAGTGATGTATCAAGCTGAAGTTTTTTTTCGTTGGCAAGACTGAATAATAATTATATAAGCGTGACTCTTTTGTTTTAAGAAAGTGTTGGCATTTTCACTGTCATATTTTTCAGATACAAGAAAAACTGAAAGCGGTTAAATATTTAATGTGCATTGAGTTAACAGTTGTTGCGTTGTATGAATGTGATCGAGTGAAACTGTCTGCTGCTTTATAAACACTGAACAAGATTAGGCCCGCAAGATTATATTATATCTGTGTAAACAAGTTGTTTAGAAATCTTAACGATAAAATTTAATGAAATTTGTCAAAATTAAATAAGACCTGTGAACTGAAGGGTGACAACTTAACACCATTAATCATTCATAGCCCATAGTATGATAACTTAACTGTAAATTCAAGATTGGTTTAACAAATTTGTTTTTTTTGCTTTTTGACTTTTAAAGGTTGGTTTTGGGAAAAGTTTCAATAAATATTGATACATTTTTGCACAGAATGCTTCCTGTATCTTGACATCTTTGGTCACTCTCAAAGAGCATTCTGCTAAAATATGAATAATACTTTGCAGGTCCAAGTGCTTTGTAACTGACACCTGTCCAAGATGCTAAGATTAAGCTCTATCCAGTTGAAGCGCATTTCTCAGCAGCAATTTTCCCGCACTGCAGGCATACAGACAACATGCCGTTACATCCATGCTGGTGCAACATTGCATCAAGACTCAAAGCGAGAACCAAGAAAACAGAAAATCAAAAAGTTGATGGTCGCAAATCGAGGAGAGATTGCAATTAGGGTGTTTCGTGCTGCAACCGAAGCTGGTATCCGAACTGTTGCAATCTACTCTGAGCAGGATGCCAATCACATGCATAGGCAGAAGGCTGATGAGGCATATTTGGTTGGCAAAGGTATGCCACCTGTAGCTGCATATTTGAACATTCCCGAGATTATTAGAATTGCAAAGGTGAGATTTTGATTTATTTGTTTTGGCTTGTTCAGAATTACTCTGTCTTATGGACAAAAAGCTAACAAACGGAAAGTGGGAGAGGGAAGGTCAGGAAATTGATCATTTTCATTTACTAGGAAAAAGAGGTTGATGCTATTCATCCAGGCTATGGCTTCCTGTCTGAGCGAGCAGACTTTGCCCGTGCCTGTACAAAGAATGGAGTTATATTCATTGGGCCGTCTCCAAGAGTCGTGCAGATGATGGGTGACAAAGTAGAAGCAAGAAAAGTTGCCACAAAAGCTGGAGTTCCTGTGGTGCCTGGAACAGAAAATCCCATCAAAACAGCCGAAGAAGCCAAAGCATTCTGTGAGGAACATGGGCTACCTGTCATCACCAAAGCAGCATATGGTGGAGGAGGGCGTGGTATGAGGGTTATATGGAATATGGATGAAGTAGAGGAATTTTTTCATCTTGCCAGTAATGAGGCTTATGCTGCTTTTGGTGATGGATCTATGTTTATAGAGAAGTTTGTAGGTAAGTAGCCTCCTCTGTTTAATTCTGAAAACAATGAATTTCTTGAAAACTTGAAAGCAACATGCCTTCAAAGGAGGGTAATGAGTGTTTTTGTTTAATGTGGAAGGATTTTGCAATCAACTGCTTCCACAATGAATCACCAGTGCACTGTATAAGATCTAGAGTAATTCACTGGTCTTAATATTCCAGAATAGGCAGATCTATATCCTCATTCTTAGAATAGAAAACATTGGAATTACAAAACATTCAAGCCCTCTTGAACTGCAATTTTGAGAATAGTCAACGCAATTGTCCTAAAGAAAAACAGCAAGGAGGAAAATTTTTTTGCCTCTCCATTTCCCCAGGCCTGCTACTGCTCAGGCTACATAATTTCAAAATCTGTTTATTTCCTTCACAGAGAAACCAAGACATATTGAAGTCCAGGTTATAGGAGACGCACACGGAGATGTAGTACACCTTTATGAGCGTGACTGCTCTGTTCAGCGACGTCACCAGAAAATAGTAGAAATAGCACCAGCACCTCTTATTAGTCCAGAACTTAGACAGACTTTGGCTGAAGATGCCATACGACTATGTAAAGAAGTCGGTTATGAAAATGCTGGTACTGTAGAGTTTTTGATTGACCAGGAAGGTAACCATTTTTTCATTGAAGTCAATGCAAGACTCCAGGTAGAACATACAGTCACCGAGGAGATTACAGGGTGGGTATTAGTAGCTTGTAAAGAGTCAGTGGTGGTTGATAATACTTGATTGTGAAACTATCATCAAGTATGAATTAACCAGAAATGCCTTTTTCTATAACAAAGAAGTGACAGGAAACATTATTACTCCTGTTGCACTTTTGTGGAAATCGTGTTTGTTCTTGGTTCAAAATTATTTGAGCCTTGCAAAGAAACGTTTTGGAATGTTTTTTTGTTTTTTTTAATTTTAACATTGATTATTTCTTTTGAAAAATTTCTTGTTTTCAGCATTGACTTGGTAAGAGCTCAGATTGGTGTCGCTGAGGGAAAAAGTTTAAATGATCTAGGGCTGGTCCAAGATAATATACGAGTAACGGGTTCAGCTATACAAGCAAGAGTGACGACTGAAGACCCAGCAATGAACTTTACACCCGATACAGGAAGAATTGAGGTGGGTATAGTACTGTAAACAGTGAGTAGATTTTGCATTTTCAACTTTCAGATCTGAATTGTAAATGTGGTGGTTGTAGTCGTTTTCATTTGTTAACTGCTTGCATTTTTGCCAAGAATACACAATAATTGATTTTTGCGGAGGTAGACTGCACAGCCAGGCGTTCCTAGCCGCTTCGAGAGAGTTTGGGCCAGAGAAGCCCAGAATAAAAAACTTTTAAACCTTAAACCCTTAAACCCTTCTTGGGAGTGGCTAGGCATGGCTGGCTATGCAGGCTATGTGTGGAAAAGTCTGCATTCTCAAAATGATTTTTTCTAGAAAATGACATCGCTGATTGGCGTTCAATAAAAGCTCTTGCGCAATGACATTGTGCACTATAAAAATTATTGGACGGTGCCTGACGTCAAATATGAAAAATTGCACGGTGACGTCAAAATGTAGAATATTAAATGATACCTATTTATAGCCAATCATAACTGAGCATTATTGTATACGATTGTTGTAGGTGTTTAGGAGTGGTGAAGGCATGGGTATTCGTCTAGATGGCGCGTCAGCATTTGCCGGTGCCATCATTTCCCCTCATTACGACTCTCTTTTGACCAAAGTGATCAGTCATGGCACGGACCACAAGGAAGCTGCTCAAAAACTGTACAGAGCGCTTACCGAGTTTAGGATTCGAGGGGTCAAGGTACGGTATAGTATGTAGGCTTTTGTGATAAAATGACGGAATTTTATTAATGTCTTGAAGAGTGCAAACGCTTTAAGGGTGGAATAATTAGCACTGCGCAGTGGCACTTAATCATGCACATGCATTCTTGTCTATCAACGCTATCATAGTAGATATAGTTGCATCGCGACTTCGGAGTTTGTTTGGAATTAAGTGAACTTAGTTTAAACAAAAATCTTTCCATTTGGTTCGAAATGAAATGTAAAAAGCCAAGGTTTTTCACGCGGTTATTATCCGTATTGATCGTTTCAACCATTCCCATGAGATTTAAAAAAATAAAAGACAGAGCTGCCATGTTGGATGAATGAACAATAGATACTAATTAGAAATCCTTTGTTGAAGTTCCTCCAAGATGGCCGCTGTGACGTATAGTGAAAACGAAGAATTATATAACTTTACAATCATTCTTCTTTTCGTTTCTGCATTTGCTTAATTTGCCTACATTATTATATACTATCGATCTCAAAGGAATTTTGATTTTAATTTTACTTTTAATATTCTAATATTTTTTTAATGGATATTCTTTTGTACTTTTCAGACCAATATAGCTTTCTTACTAAACGTCCTAAAGCATGACAGTTTTCTAGACGGCACAATGACTACAGACTTTATCCATCAAAACCCAGAATTGTTTAAAGTTAAAAAAAGTCAGAATCGAGCTCAAAAACTTCTGCAGTACCTTGGAAATGTAATGGTCAATGGTCCTGTCACTCCGCTTGCTACGGGCCTGAAACCCTCTAAAGACGAACCTAAACTTCCCGAGGTATGAAATTGCTCGACGAATTTGTCTGAATAACCCTTTTAGTCTTAGAACAATGTAATGTATCCTTTTATTCAGTAACAGACCGTGAAAATGCACTGAAATGATCTATGAGTATAGAAGAAAATGAAAATAGCTATAGAATATTTATTTTTCTAGCATGGTTTTAATATTTTTTTTTCCTCGCAAGGTACCCTACGAAACCCATAATTCCTATCTACGTCCTCGAGGCTATCGTGACCTGTTCCTTCAAGATGGTCCAGAAGGCTTTGCACGCGCTGTTCGTCGAAGCAACAAGCTTCTTTTGACGGATACTACTTTTAGAGATGCACATCAGTCGCTCCTTGCTACACGTGTCAGGACTCACGACATGGTCAAGATTGCTCCATTTGTCTCGCACTTCTTTGCTAATGCATACAGCTTGGAATGCTGGGGAGGTAGGAATACGGCGCTTTTAAAAATATCGCAGGCGCACGCATGAAAACGAGATACAATCAACTGAATAGAAACAATGTTTCAGTGTTGATGATCGAAAGCTTGGTAATAAAATAACTAATTGGTTGATGAAACAAGATCAATGAAATGTTTCTATTCTTTACAAAAATTAATAATGGAAACAATCACTATATTTACATGTCTAATAAGGGCTTAATTACATTTCTAAAACTAATGAATTATTCATTAGACATTCTTCCAATGAACATTCAACTATGGGTCACATGGCAGGATCTATAAATATCACATAATACTGAACAGTTGAGTCTGGACTTAAAGTTTGAAAGCGTGTCCACATCACGCACGTGCTGTGGCAGGGCATTCCCGACACGCGGCGCAGCAGCCACTGCGAATGATCTATCGCCGTATGCTTGCGTACGTGATGTTGGCACAACGAGTAGATTTTTGCTTCCAGAACGAAGAAATCTGGAGGGATTGTGCCTCCTTAGGAGCCGTAATATTGCGGAGCCTGATTACTGCCTTGAATGCTGTCACTAAGATTTTAAACTGCGAATACAAGCGAAAATCAGAACACTGCCCGAAAATACCAGCTTCTCTTCACTGCGAGATCTAACTTTATTTGTATCAAAAACACAGGTGCAACGTTCGACGTGGCCTTGCGATTCTTGTACGAGTGCCCCTGGGACCGACTGACCAAACTTCGTGAACAAATACCCAACATTCCTTTCCAGATGTTACTTCGTGGCGCAAATGCTGTCGGGTACACTAGCTATCCGGATAACGTCGTGTTTGAGTTCTGTCAGAAGGCAAAGGATTATGGGATGGACATCTTTAGAGTATTCGATTCTCTGAACTACTTACCAAACTTGCAGGTATAATATGTACAATGGACACCTTTAGGACCGTAACGACTGTCTGCTATCATAATTTGTATGAGAAATATGTATATTGTCGTATATTGTATTTGGCTATCCCGTTTGTCAGATATTGTTTATCTAATGGACTAATATGTGTTAACAGCTTGGTATCGACGCAGCAGGACAAGCAGGAGCTATCGTTGAAGCAGCCATCTCGTATTCTGGTGATGTGACTGACCCAAATCGTACTAAATATAACATAGATTATTACATGGATTTGGCATCAGATCTAGCGAGGTCTGGTGCTCATGTTCTGTGCATCAAGGTTAGTGGGTAACCATGATAACGAATTTTGTTTGTTTTTCTATTTTTAGCTAAGTTCGCAAGAGAGATACGTTTTGAAGAGCCATATAGTCAACCCGCACGGCATCGTGCACGTGTAGACTTACTTATAAGAAAGTATAACTTATCGTGATATAAGTGAACCTTTATGCAATATAAATGAAGGTATTGTAAGATTCGATTATTTCAACGGATGGTTACGGATTGCGAATGGATAATTGAAGTCAGCTCATTTTCCTTACCTAAAACAAGGCCGTATTGAATGCAGGTTGACCAGGCCCACTTGATATGATGTCATAATTTAAACTTTTAAAGTATAACGCAACTGCTTATGGGATCACTGTTAATCACCCTTAATACTAACATGATTAGAGGAGTTTATTGTCCGATATTGATTGGCTCTCATTTTGTCGTATCTAGGACATGGCTGGCTTACTAAAACCAAAAGCAGCGTCTCTACTGATTGGCGCTCTCCGTGCCCAGTTCCCCAAGCTGCCAATCCACGTGCATACCCATGATACATCGGGTGCTGGAGTTGCGTCCATGTTGGCTGCGGCGGAAGCTGGAGCCGATGCCGTTGATGTAGCAGTAGATTCCATGTCAGGCATGACGTCACAGCCTAGTATGGGTGCTGTTGTTGCTGCTTTGGAGAGAGGTGACCATGATACAGGTGAATCCAATATTTCTTGTTTGATTTTAGTAACCTTTTCCAACCACTCCTGCGTCGCCATGCAACGCTACGGTATATTTAATAAATTGCGCACGGTTTTGAGTTGTATGTCCTCTTATTGACACACTCTTGACGTCATAATGTGTTCAAAACTCAAGTGGACCCACGAGCGAGTGGAGTGCAAAGTTTTGAACATTTTATGACGTCAAGAGTGCGCCAATAAGAGGACATACAACGAAAAAACGTGTGCACATTGTTGGTCTAAAAATTAGCGAAAATCATCCTTTTCTTTCAATGTGATGGTGTCTGCACAGTGTGCATGTCCTGCTCTTATTGACACACTCTAATCAGCCAATCAGCGCGTGAGAATTTGCACAAGTGTTGTAAAAAAGTGTATTTTGTTCAATTTCCAGGGATCCCATTGCATAGTGTACATGAATACAGCGCTTACTGGGAACAAACAAGACTTTTATACGCACCTTTCGAGTGTACTGTCACAATGAAGAGTGGAAATGCCGACGTTTATGAGAATGAGATACCAGGTGGTCAATACACCAATCTTCATTTCCAGGCGTATAGCCTTGGACTGGGAGACAGGTTCTCAGAGGTCAAGCAAAAGTACGTAGTCGCTAACAAACTACTTGGAGATCTGGTGAAGGTAAGTAGCTATTTAAACAGGCAGCGCTGGTATAAAAGGCGGCTTGCCAGGCCAAATCCAGCTCATCCAAGCCATTGAGATGCCGAGTAGAAAGGATCTCACCCTAGCCTTGATCTTAGAACGAATTTTATATTTGAACAAGTTTGGGAATTACACAGGAAGCCCAAGAAATTACCTACAATACTTTATGTCAATTGTCAAATGTATATAAGTAGATAAGACAAGATGGTACCATATATGTGTTGTTTTGGTTCCGGCCTTTGCATATGATACAAATATACTTTGGTTAATTCCCGATAACACATCTGTGCCTAGTCCCCTCTCGCAGCCGTTACGACGTTCGTTCCCAGGTCTCTTAGTGACCTGGGAACGAGCCTCGTAACGGCTTCGAGAGGAGACTTATCTATTCCTCTCTTTTCCATCATGCACTATACTAGCCAGCATAGATTACTTCACGCTGTTACAGCTTCTAGTTGCACTTTATTTTATTAGCAAAGGCATTCTGGTGTGACGCCATTGCAAAAATACACATGTCCACTACACTGAAACACCTGTGCACTATAAGATTGGGTTATTTCACTCGATTTGTGTTTTTTACCAGGTTACTCCAACATCAAAGGTCGTGGGAGACTTGGCCCAGTTTATGGTGCAAAATAAGCTAGACGAGAGAGACGTGCTAGCCAAAGCACCAGAGCTTGACTTTCCTTCATCAGTTGTCGAGTTCATGCAAGGATATCTTGGTCAACCCTATGGTGGTTTTCCAGAACCCTTGAGATCTCAGGTATGCTAAGAATAAGCAGGGTTCGCGCTACCCCTTGAAAATCTTGAAAACTCCAGGAATTAACTCCCAATACTGATGACTATCCTTCTAACATGATTTAACAGATTGTCAAAGATAAACCAGTCTTAGAAGGTCGCCCAGGCGAGTCCCTTGAGAGTCTTGACTTTGAAGATCTCAAAAAGAAGCTCCAAGAGGACTTTGGTAAGTGAAAGGGTCTGTCTATTTTGTCGAGGTTATTGTCAGTGTTTGAATATTTCTTTGTTAAATTTTTTTCACGAATCGCATAAATCAGACGTAAAACAATTTCATGTTCTTCAATATAAAGTATAACCCCCTCCCTCCCTTCTTTCGTCCCTTCCCCCAAGATGACTTTTATTTAAGAAATATAAAACGGCGCGCGTGTCTCTGTCCTCTGATATAAACACGGTGGGAGTTCGAAAAACACGAGAGAAGCAAGCTTAGGAACACGAGCGTAGCGAGTGTTTCTCTAGCTTCTCGAGTGGTTTTTAACTCCCACCGTGTTTACATCAGAGGACAGAGACACAAGCGGCCGTTTTATATTTCTTTTATAAAATTTTTCGAGTGGAAAGAAAATTTTGCCGGTAAGCCGTGTCTCTGTCCTCTGATATAAACACGGTCGTCAGCCAATCAGAGCGCGCGTTATATATCAAAAATTTTATAATGTTTCATAGAGGCACTTGTGGTATTAAAGAACCATTCTTTCATTCAATATCTATTCATTTAGTTTTTTCATTCTCGTGTAGGAGAAGATGCGGGTATTAGAGACGTAGACGTACTTAGTGCTGCTTTATATCCCAAAGTATTTAATGATTACATGGTATTTAAGGAGGAGTTTGGTCCAGTTGAAGGTCTGCCAACCAGACTCTTTTTTACTGGACCGGAAATTGGTGAAGAATTCCAAGTTGAAATCGAGGTAACTTTGCGCAGAAGGGTAACGTTCCGAGGTGACCTCGCTATCATGGACATCCAGCCATGAGCTATTCTTAAAATTTCAAGAGAGGCGGGAATAACCTCGAATCTATGTGTAAACTATTGTTTATTGTATTGGTTTCTATCCTATGAACAAGGCAATTCTTGTTTAATTAAATTGGAATTTTAAGAATTGTCAATATCTCTTGCTACAATAGACCCTCCATTTTCGGCGGGTTCCGACAGTGTCTTTGATATCGAGAGTTAACTATCTCCAATGGCTTCGTGAATTGTCTGATAGAGTTATATTATTGAGAAAATTATCAAGATGGCGGATATTTTGTTTCTTCAGTTGTCAGGTGAAATTAACGTTCGGCGTTGTCGACAAGGCTTCTCTGTAGAACATTGAATATATTATAGAAAGATGGCTACACTCTAGACTTATCTCAAAGGCCTGTCTAAAAGATAAATAGCGCCTTTTGGTCCTAAAACAGCACGTCGACGCGCTGCAACATTGCTTAATTTTGCACATAATAATTCCGCTGAAACATGGCACAATGTTAGCCTCTCCTCCACAGGCAACTCTTTTTTGCTCCTTTGGGCTTCCTTTCCTTTGTTAGTGATGCCTGCGGAGAAGGCTAGTACAATGTCAAGAGGACAATTATTATTAGCAAATTTATTTTTGTTTCTATTACACATCTTTTCTTTAGCCTGGTAAAGTTTTAAATCTTAAAGTGCTCGCCATCAGTGATCTTCATCCCAACGGTATGAGAGAAGTGTTCTGCGAGATGAATGGTCAGCTGCGTTCCGTTATGGTGCAGGACAAAAGTGCTACTAAGGTATGGACTCGGTTTTCGTATGTGCTTGCCTTTAACTTTGTGGAATAGGCTATTTTCATCATGGCGTCATATACTACCAAGACCAGAATGCTTTGTACACTTTCTTTTTTAATGTAATTAGTGACAATTGTTTTAATAATCTTGAAAGGGATTGAAAATTTGAATAACAAAGAAAATGCGCATAGCATTCTGGTAGTGAAAGTAAAATGACGTATCGTCGTATAATGCGTATCACCCTTTTGCCTATATTGCATAAGTACGTCACACCAAAACGTTTTATTGTTTTAATGACAAGTATTATGGTCGCCAGAAGGGGCATAATCACTGCATATCAAAAAAAAAGTGCATGAGCAATCACTGATACATGGAATATAACAAGACTAGAAAATAGAGGAAATATAAATAGGTCCAAACTTCTACTGTTTCCGATTATTTCTACTGTAAATATAATGTGACGTCATTATGCGATAGGGCAATTGGGGTGGCCGGATATGGCGGGAATTCACGATATTCCATACTCAGGTTCAGTGACCATGAACAGAGCATTGAACCAAGGTGCAGTAAATGGAATGACCTGTGATCAGTGTTCCTTTACGCCTCGGTTCAAATCTTTGTTCGTGGTCACTGCTGAACCTGCGTATGGAGTGAATCTAAAGTACGAATAATAATCTACTTTGATTGGATTGGTTTTCATCTCAAATGTGCTTCACTATAAAAGTTTGTCGGGTCGTAAATAAACCGAAGGGGATTTTGGGTACTAGGAAACTCGAATCACATTCACGTATTTCTAATTTATTACAGACCTTAGTGCTGCGCCCCAAGGCAGAAAAGACCGTCAAGGGATCCATTGGTGCTCCAATGCCCGGTAAAGTTGTCGGCATTCGTGTCAAAGAAAACGAAGTCGTCAAGAAAGGCATGCCTCTAGTTGTACTAAGCGCCATGAAAATGGAGACTAACGTATCGTCACCTTGCGATGGGATGGTCAAGAAGATATCCATCGCTCTAAACAATGACGTAGAAGCAGGAGACTTACTTATTGACGTCGAACCAAATCAGTGACGTCACAAATATGACATCATCAACTTGTAATGACGTCACACAAGCCGTCATCGACAAAAATGACGAAATCGAGCTGGAAAGACGTCGCTCATAGATATAACGTTACAGAATATTGAAAAAAATTCATTTTAGGAAACAAAGAACAAAACAAAACAAAAAAATGTTGGAACTAATAGTATTCTTAGATAGCATAGGATGTTAAAAACTTATAGCTAAAGACATTATTTAATTGTTTTTGGGTCTTGATGTTGTGATTCAAATCACGGGGAACACCAAAACAAACTATACAAACTCCATAAAGTATTCTTTTTTTCAGTATTATAATTTATTTTTGATATAGAATAATATTCGAATGTAGTAATTATTGGACTAGTATCATTTGTTGATAATAAATAAAATGTGCATGTATTGTATATATCTGTTCTTCTTGAAATTGTGTATCAGTTTTTTAAGCGATACGAATAAAGCACGGTGCTGTGGCCCACAGAGACCGCGGAGTAGGGAGCCCCGGCCCCAATAATTTTTCCGCCATTTTGAATTTTCGTAAATAAAGAAGTGAAGAGCCTCCTTTTGAAATTTCACTTTTCATTTATAAATATTATTGTGTAAAAATGACATTTCCGAGAGTTTAAGATTTCAAAATTTTCAAAATTGCCTTCGGCAGTCGCTAACCCCTCCCCCCCCCAAACAAATTCCTGCTCTGCGGTCCCTGGCCCACATTAACCGGGGCTGGTTAACTTTTAGGACAGCTGTTGTTGTTTAAACTGTTCTTTATGTTAACGGAATTTCCATGCAAACGCGCGCCCGTAATGCAGGCCCAAGGGCTTGAGCTGTTGTTCGGGGACTGAGAGTATATTAAAGCGGAATCTAGGTCGATCGTTATCATGTGGCTGTAAATTACCAGCATACATTACAAGTGAACGTATCTGTCTTTTGCACAGTTATCGTCAGTTGCAGCAGGGGGCACGAATGCCCTGGGTCGCAAGCCGATTGAAATCAAAATACACTTCCTCCTCAGTTAGGAGGAAGACAGAATACACCATTGAAGACAGAATGTTAAAAGGTTTGAAGAACTGGATCAATAAAATATCGAGTTCTGTCCGATCTGGATCTCTTCTCCGAACTCTGCTTCACTACTTTTAAAACGACTCGGAGAAAAATGGATGTTTTCTAAATCTCCTCTTGTGGAGTTTGCACAATTTTAGAATTTTATCACTGAATAGCTGTCTAACACCCAATTGCACTTTTGGGCTCCCTGTGTTGATCCAGTGCTTATCGACCACTTACGTTGGCTTGGCGTAATAAGAGTCCGCTATGGTGCAATTTTCCCGATACTCTACTTGACTTTATATTATACCCGAAAGCACACATAATCAAAAATATGGCTTCGAACCGAGGACGGGGCTCAAGATCTACCGGTCGTGTAAGTAAATGAGTATTAAGTTTTATTTAAGTCGGTTTATATTTACAAGAAACTCCAACAAAGATTTAAGAGTATTTAAAACTGTCATTTTTTTAACATAGTAAGTACCAACTAGACGATCAGCGATCGTTTACATGGGCTTCCTGTGGTTTATCCCAATCAGTAAATGATATTGAACCCTAATGAAATTAATATTACTAAGACAACAGCAAAAAAAGATTTCCTTTACTGAAAAATAATGAAACAAGCAATGTGCTTAGTAGAATTTAATAATATTGTGAAAGAAGTAATTTATGTCTGACGAGCCGTTACTTTAGAGTCGCATCCTTGGCTGTATTAAACACAGATCGATAGTCTTTCATGTTCTTCGCTTAAAATACTTCCAATCCTCTGTTTTTCCTCAGTATAAATCTGTTGACATGTCTTAGATAAGTCCTTGGTGATTGTAGAGCCGATACTAGTATAAGTTTGCTTTTGATAAGTTAATGTTTGATAGATATTAATTCACGATCGGTTAGTTCATGATAAATTCGCCGTACCTCTCCAAATGCCCTTTTGAGAAACGCTCGAATTTTTTTTAGTGTGGCTATGCCGCGAATGGTGTGTGGATTTGTAAAAGAATCTAGCGTTCTACATGTTCGATCTTAAAACTTTGCMGSCTWTACGAAGGTCCGAAGAAGAGGACGTTTGAATCGTTGCTTAGAAACATGAATGACAGTAAGACAATAGATGTCAAAAATGAAAAGGTCCCGGATATAATTTGAAGCATACCACAGACGAAAAACGTCGGTAATTTAAGACATGGTCTTCCTTTGGAAGCCCATGTAACTATGTTTTTAATGCGCTACAAGTAAATGCAGTTGGACACAAAATGCTGCGAATTGACGTCGGCAAAACATTGGTGTATTGCGAAAACCAATATTTTCCAGTTTTTTTTTTCAGCCCCTTACCTTTCCCTCACATTCACTCCCATATATAAGACCTACTGCACCTATGATATATAACATTTGCATCACTTCACTTCCATTATTTATATTTTGCTCATTTCAAACAGGATAATCCAGATGTAAAACTATCCAAAGCACTTTCATATATACTACGCCACGGTGCTGAGAAAGAAGGACTTGTATTGCATGAAGGTATATCTTACAAGAACGCCCCTTGGCTCCCCCTTTTGACCCTCTGACACAGATCCACCTGGCACGTGTAGGGATCACACAACCATTTTAAATCTCTTTTTATTTTGTAACCCTTTTTATTTTGTTTCTGCTTACTGTTTGTTCAGGTGGATTTGTCTTCGTTGATGAAATACTTCAAAAGAAGCAGTTTTCAAAATACACAGAGGAGAATATTAGAAACATTGTTGACACTAATGACAAGAAAAGATTTGCTCTGAAAACTGATGATGCAACAGGAAAGCTAATGGTTCGAGCTAATCAAGGCCACACTTTAGAGGTATGTGCATTATTAATCAGCAATGCCGCATTTACACTCAAATGTTATACCTGTGAAGATTTTTATTTGCATCTAAGGTAGAAGGTCTGGAGTTACAACCTATTAGTGGCTCTGTTGAAGCACCAACAGTGTTACATGGAACATACCTGGAAGCTTGGCAGTTTATTAAAGAACAGGTAGGCTATTATTATCTATAAATATCTTATATATTTTGTGGGTTATAATGTTATAATGTCATCAATCACAATTTTCAAACCAGAGAAAAAAGGAGGAAATTCTGGAAAAAAAGGAGGAAATTCTGAGAAAACTGAGAAAAAGCTGAGAAAACATCTTGCTAATAATTAATTTCTACAATCTATAATTATACTGTATATAATGTAATAGCATCCATTGCAGCCAATTATCTTGCAACCTCTAATGTGGACTGTTATCATTGCAGGGCCTTTGCAGAATGGCAAGAAATCACATTCACTTTGCTCCAGGAGAGCCAGGCAAAGATGGAGTCATTAGTGGAATGCGCATGAGCTGTCAAGTCATTGTTTACATAAATATTGATAAGGCCATACAAGGTAATATATCTACACGAATCAAAATACAATTGACTTGCCAATCAATGTCAACTTTCTGTTGTCTCTATACTTGTCTCTCTCAGTCATTACCTGTCATGTTATGCTGGAAGTTATGGCTGTAAGAATAATAAAATTAATTTTATATATACCTCTTATAGACCACTTGCAGTTCATGGGATGAAGCTCCGACTGGAGGACAAAACAATTGATTCTTGTTCCCAAGAGGGCAAAAATCATTTATGAATGTTTTGTCCTACAGATGAAGCAGCTTTGGTGTAACATGCTAATGGTTGATAGTCATTTGGCTAGAGCATGTAAAATGTGTATGGAATGATACTTTGTTGTAATATACACATTGTCATGAAGTTAAAGACCCTTTACACTTCAGCAATGTTTGGCCACCTTGTTTTTTTCAAGTCTGTCAAGAATTCTTGATATTTAAACACCATTTCATTTTTTTTCATTTTTCATTGCAAATTGTTGTTGGATTGCTAGACAATGATAGATGGTGGTTGGTAATCCAATATTTCTTGTTGCTATTTCATAGATGGCTACAAGTTTTACAGATCTGCCAACAATGTGATTCTTTGTCCAGGCAATGAGAATGGTTTCTTGCCAACCAAATACTTTGAAAGAGTTATTCAACTGAGACCAAGTATGTTACACCCAGTTTAATGTGTTGGTGTTACAGCGCAGTGCGTAAAAGTGTGGCCACTGGTAATATATTCACACTCTTCTGTCTCACCATCTGTCCAATTAACGTCTTGATGCAAGACAAAGTAACACAATCCAACAATGGTGATTGGTTAATAAGCAAAAGCATGCGAATGCATAACAGTGGCCACACTTTATGCGTTGAGCTGTAAGTGACCTGACATCACCCATTTTTCTTTCAGGAAAAGAACTGCCATTCAGTTGATATTCACTTAGAACAACAGTGGGGCTCATTATACGACGTGATTAATCAACAAATTTACCATGCACAACATATTCTATCTTAAAAGAGCCTTCCCAGGTAAACCAGTGTCTGTAAAATCTTGTTTCCAAACAAATTCCTGGTGATATGCTGGGCCATCTTCACAGTTTTTAGTACAGGTGAATATTGCTACTGTGCCCCAGTCAATGCTGTCTTCCACACTGTCTACTCCAAGATAGTTCAGTAATTGTGGCATTATCTGTACAGAATCAGATTGAGTATTAAAAGTTTATTAACACTATAGTGAAATATTGTAAATACTAGGCTACTTTGAAGGCTACTCCTAAGGAAACAGGTTTTTTCTCCTTGCTCTCCCTTTGTTGATTTTTTTCCTGACCCAGAAAAACTGGTGCTGAGAGATTAGGAACAACTCCACCTGCATTTACTTCCTTCCTAACCCCTCCCCACTCTGTCCAATTTTCTGCCTTAACACAGAAATTCTGCAGAATACATGTATAATTGCCTGCGAAGGAGCTGGCTAGGCCACTACTAGATTTAATAATTAGTATTGCAAGAGATGGATCAAAATAGTACTAAATTAAGCCAATCTAGTTGTTTAACTTTGCTTAATTAGTAATATTTATCACTTTGAGTTTGTACTCTAACATTACTGACCTGAAATTCAAAGTGTCTGCTTGCTCCACACAAACATGGGGGAATGTCAGTATTGCTTGGTTGATTGTCACCAGACACCCATAGTGGCTGACCACCCTTGTCATACCTTAATACCTGTCATTAATAATCACACAGTCACATATTAATATATTCTGAAACTCAGACAGTCCTAATTGCCAAACCTTTTAACAGGAAACTAGAAATGTGGTTTCTTTGACTGCTGTATTTACATCTATTTTCAATAACTGACTGTTACTCAATAAAAGAATTTATAATACATGCCTTTGAGGCTAAGGCTGCATAAATAGGATATTGAAATATTGAGTATTATTACAGTTTTCTAGTACTCTGCACTAAAAAAGACGATGAGGGGGTGGGGTGGGAATATTTTTTGTTGTCACTCATGATAGCAGCCAATCATGAAAACTGTTTTTCATGCAAGTTTACCTGCTCTGGTTCTCGTGCTATTCTCTTCTTAAAAGCCTTAAATTGCTTATCAGCCAAAAGATCTTCCTTTCCTGCCATTGCAAGTTTTTCCAGTTCTTTATCGTCTTTTGAACCCAGCTCAGATGCATTGATGTTCATATTTTTAGTCATTTTTTCAAAGTCTTTCATTCTTTCTTTTTCGCTGCGCTCCTTTGTTTTTGACTCTTCTGGTTCTGGCTCAGTAACGATTTCAAATTCTGGGAAAAGGAAGTTGTTTGATGATGGAGAGGTTGCATGAGCTAAAGGAAAATACAATGCACATACAAAAATCAGTATTATGATTATTGCTAGATGCCAGCGCTGAACCTAATCATTCATATTTTGAGCTGCTTATGTGTCAAATAGAAACAGGTTCGAAACATTGCCAATAATATTGGATTGCCAACTATATGTAGGTACCTATACATTTAAAACTCTCCCCACCTTTCTGATCATCTTTGCTTTCGGCAAGTTTTGAACAATCTGTTTTGTGGCCTGCCTTCCATCCGATGACTTGGTGATCCCGGCAACAGTAACAAACTTTATGACACTTAGAACACTTCTTATCACCAAGACAGCCACATACATCGCACAATGACACGAACGCACGAGGTCTAAACTCGGGATCAACACCATTCCAGTCTGCCCTGTCTTCTCCTAGTTCGGGAGGCGGATTATTACTGAAAAATTTATTCTTGCGCGGAAGTTGATTTCTAAAAACGGCAAATACACCATTAGAGTTCGTTTTGTGACATCGTGGGTTCTTACAGCAAAACACGAAAAGAGCTCTGTGAAAACATCTTTCATCGTCAGGAGAGCCGTCGGTCAAGGGAGCATAAATTTGGAGAAGAAAGACCAGGTTTTTTTGACAATTTGTACAGAGTAAACGCTTTGAATCTGGGATGTCTTGAAGATTCAGCCATGATGGTCTTCCTCCAACTTTGCTAGGGAAGAATGGACTTGCTAATCTTAGGATATTATAATCTTTTTCAATAAAACCCAGCTCAACCTCCGATTCTGCGTCCGCCATCTTGTGAGCGAGCACGTGGGTACACAGGAAGCCCAATGGTCAAGTAATTTCTTGAACGATCCATGTGAGAATGGTACTCCCTTACCCCCTGAAAGTGTCCTGCAACCCTCCCCCCAAAAAAATATGGATCCGCGCCTGATTAATCTTGCTGTTTTGAATTTATTAGAAATACAAATTCATTTCAAATATTTAGAATTAAGTAACTTAATAGCGCGCATATAGCTTGTCACAATGCTTATAAAACAATAATGCAGAAAATAGTTTTTCTGTAAAAATATTTGTGAGTTTTATGTCTTGTTTATCAGTGTCACTGTTGACACATTCTTCAAGGATCTCTGTAACTGGTTGCAGCTTTAAAAAAGGATCATTCACTTTCCCATATTCCCTTGGATCCATCCATCTTGCAAATTCTTCTAGTTCAAAATGAATTTTTTGGCCATTTGGTAAAGTGAAATTCCAAATTGAGCGAAATTTTCCACGGGGCAGGCCAATCTTTTCAGCTTTCAAAATTTCTCCTCCTTTTGTCCTAAAGGTGAAGTTAGTAATGTCAGATTCATGGTTTTCAGAGAAAGTATTTGGCAAAAAAGTAACCCTAAGCACTAGGTCGCAAAGCAAGAGGTCAGAAAGTCTGTATGCTCTTGACAATTGCTGAGGTTCACCTAATACAAAAAATATTTCTTTGCTAAGGCTATGAAGTACTTTATGCTTGGAAGATCCATGAAGGTATTCAGCCATTCTGCATAGGATGCCCACATTTGTGGATTCTCCGATTTGTCTCATTAAACTTTCACTTTGATTTAATGAGTCTAAGGCAGCTTGTACTGACTCTTGGGTTGGCTCCCTATTGTTGTAATTGCTTTTGAATTGCAACTGTTCCATTGAATCAGAAATGATTTCTTTTCGAGAGTCAGGATAAAAGCAGAACCATAGAAGAAAATGACCTGTAATGGAAGGAACAGTTTCACCAAGTTCTTTTTGGAGAATATCAATGATTGGCTTGGCACGCACAGCAAATCCCCTTACATGTTCTTCACTCAAGTTTGCATAGCTGCATGGAGTTTTGCTGTTTTGTACAATTTCGTACAGCACAAACAGGTCACCAAAAGTTAATTTGAAAGTTACTCTATTAGAACATACACTTAAATGCGTATCGATGATTAACTCCTGGTTAAGGATTGGCAAACGAAATGTTAGTTTTTTGACAACACGTTGAACTTCTCCATTGATTTTGAACTCTTGTCGAAGTTTGAAATCTAAAATCCATTGAAACACTTCAGCAGCTACTGGCCCTCTTGCCCACCAAACATTCATCGCATTTGCTAAAGTTGGCTTGGTTATTTTGTAGACTTCAGCGATGGAAATGAGGTCTTGAATCAAAGGGAGGTTTATGGTGAATCTTCTGTCTTTTGGGAATTCGTTGATGACAAACCTGGTGCCATAATACCGAATTTTTCTCTTTAGAACATTGATATGCCAGTGTTTAGTCTCCAAGCTCACTTGATAGAACCTCTTACAAGTGACAGAAAAGAAATAAAATGAAGTAAAATCATCTAGACGAGACAAAATCTCCAGCAAACAGTCATAGTTCAATGACAAAATTGACAATGTCTCCATGTTCATTTTGGTCAATCTTGACCGCTTTGAAAGCTAAGAATTCAAATGATTAATAAACATGACTATTCGCCAGTGAATGCGGGTTTATGATCATAGCTGACAGTCACACGTGCACGTCTCTTCCATCGCCATATTGTTTATTGGGCTTCCTGTGTTTTCCAAAGTGTTTCCGCAGTTTATAAGTTTTGCGGGCTTTTCCTAGTACTGACACAGGGGGACCATGCGATATATGAGTGTGAGTTGAATATGCGTATAATTGCAATTTTTATAATTTGGTATATAACGTGTTCTTGGATTGGTTGTAAGAACAATGTGCTATTACAGTGCACACACTGATGACAACATTTAATCTTACATGCACACTGATTGGCCAGAACTTAGTGAGCGCTCTCTATTCATTGTTTAAGTTTTATTGACCTTTTATTCAGTAAAATTTTAGAGAAAAAAAAAATACATAAAACAAATAGATTCCTTTTTTTGCTCTGTGCATTTGCACTTTGATAGATGTAACACAGAAAAAATGGAATGTACTTGTATTTGCTAAGTAAATTTAATTTACTAATAAATTCATCATTGCATTTACATGTATAACTGGATTAAATATAAATATTATAATATACAGCTTAACAATATAGTACAGTACAATGTTTCCACAGTCGATAGTTAAGTTATTAAACCTTTTTTTTCTTTTGCCTGCAGCCAATCCAGATATAAGTTGTGACATTATTAAAGCATTACCATTGAACAATCAATATAACTTTACTGCATGAGGTGCTGGGGCTGGGAAGAATTAAGAACTCCAGCCCCCTTCTCTTCCTAAAAGAAGTTTCTGCCTCTTGCCTTATGCAGCTGTCAGAAAGGTTTCAATTGCATGACTGCTGTCAATCAACAAGAGCTTATGTATTAACATCATAATAAAATTGAGATGTCTTCTTTTAAATTGACAACATAAGTGAATGATAAAGTAGTTGTGAGTTGAATGTCACGAAATTTTAGGCTGGACTGGCTGAAAATACCAAGAAACTAAAATCCCACAGGTGACTAGAATGTCTGTCCATCTCAAGTCTTAAATTGATTTTGGTCTCCATTTGCAGCTGTGCCTATTTTTATCATGAAATTGCTAAAAGTATTAAGATAATTACAAGCCAACACAAGAGACTGTGAAGGGAGGCTACAGAGTTTACCATAGTACTGGGGAAAGGGTTTAAAAACTAGCCAGCCACGCCCTTTTTTAAAAACTTGCACTTAAGGATCTTTTAGGGGTCTTTGAAATTTTCCAGGGGGCATGCCTTGTACTTTTAACCAAGAGCCCACCCTTTTTAGCTAATATATATTGTAGAAAATTTCTTCACCTTAGTCACATCCTCCATCAAAACCTCCTCCATCATCAAAACCTCCCCCATCAAAACCTCCCCCATCAAAACCTCCTCCATCAAAACCGCCTCCCATGTTCTCCCCATAATCAACGTCATGGTGAAAATCTCCATCTCCTTCATGGAAGTGTTCATGGTGATGCACTTCAGTAACATGATGGTCATGAAATCCACCATGGTAACCACCATGGTATCCATGGTAATAGTGAGGTCCATGCATGGCATTGCTCATCATAGCTCCTGCTGCCATGCCAACCATGAAATCCCCAGCAGAACTGCCCCTGTCTTGAACTACTACTGTTGTTGGTTGCTGTGCATAGTTTGTGTTTTGATGTACTACTCTTTGCTGAGGGTAAGGTCGTTGTGGGTATGCATGTTGCTGAGGGTAGACTTGCTTGGGAGGGTACTGTTGCTGTACAACTGAAAGAAATTGTAATACTAGTAATAACAACAAAGTTATAAACTTAATACTGTACAATTAGTACAAAGTGGGTCCAGCTGATACAGTAGGTTTGTTCACCATCATCGTCTATAATCCTAAATACTTTCTTATTATTATCACAACCTTCAAATTTGTGCAAGTTAAAATTTGCATGTTTAAACAAAACAAAGAAGCCTACCTGGAGCAGCACCAGTGTAATGTGTAGTCGTGGTTACTTGCTGAGTTGGAGCTTGGGCTGGCACATGGACCTGTTTAACACAAGAGTATTTTCGTTTGACAGTAATATAAATAATAATTATATTGTACCCTACACATTTGCCAGATGTTATCATTCCATTTTGCGTTA